GAAAACGATGTTAAGGTGGGACCATATGCTCCAGGAGAAAATGTTGGATCAGTTTATTTTCTGCATGAATCACTCATGTCGAGTACAAAAGCTGCAAAACTAAGTCGATCATAGTAATAAAAGTGCAGAGCTGCTGGTTTCCTCGTCGTATGCCAGGATATTATGGGAAACAATTCCTCAGCAACAAGTCATCCAAAACAGGTCTGCAATTATGGGAATGGCAAACAAATGTTGGCAATAAATTATGAACCGTACCATAACCCTATCTGCCCCCGCTTCTCTTCTCTCTCATACTTTCCCTCTTGCATGCTGATTCCCATAACTCCAAATCCCACACAATAACAAACACACACACACGCTACATTCCTCAGTTGCTGGTGAGTTTATTTGGTAAGATGGTGTAGGGAGATTGTCCTTGAACTGTAAGGTCTTGGCTCAAGCAAACACGTTCTCATTCTTATTATAATTTTCATAAGTATGTGCCAGTGGACTGCACAGTAGTGGCCAACAGTTGCAAACATGCCCCAAACAACGGCCCCAAACATTTCTGTTTCCGTTGTGTTTTGAGCTTCTTGCAGTGTTTTGTATTTGCAGTGTTTTGTATTTGCGGCAATTTGTTTATGCATTGCTTTTAATAAATGCTGCGCATGTGTTGTCAACACTTCATTTTTATGTGTTTTTTGATGTGCATCGTTTTTTAAACTGCAGCGCGTTCCCCTAATGGAAATATTTTGGGCCGTTGCAGAACAATTGCACCCGTTGGCCACCGTACATCTGGTCAATGTAGGAAATACTGGCCTGCAGATGCGTTGCTTCTGTGTCAAGACTTGTAAGGTGTCAGACATTGATTGATCTTGACTCAAAAACGGCACTATTTGGATTTTTTTGTCTTCTGTATTCTGTGTATGCAGCCTGACTTTCCTTCTTTTTCTGAAGTGCGATTGTGTTGCTGGTTTAGCAAAAAATATCCCATGAAATAGAGCCTTAAATTGACCACTTGAGAAGAAAAGAAAAGTCAAACGAAAACAAATATATATACGGTCGAATAGTTAAAATGATGACATCCATTATCTTTTCCTTAACACTTTTCATGACCTTGAATGCATTTGTCCTGAGGTCAAGTAATAATAGTAATAATAATAAATTGTATTTGTAAAGCACCTTTCATTCAAGAAACAGAAGTTTAATGAAAGGCTTTTTTTTAAAGAAAGGTTGTTAGGCCTTTCTTGAAGGCTTCAGTGGTCCGGAGTCCTCAGGTGGTCTGGGAGGGAATTCCACAGGTGAGGAGCAGCTGCACAGAAAGTAAAGATTTGATGGAGAAATGATCAGGACTAAGAAAAAAAACAACCAGTCCTAAAATAATCTGACTGCATTTACACTACGCTAAATAACTATGCAACAGTGAATGCTATAACATGTATCACATGGAATTGTGGGATGGCTTTATCTCTCTTCATTTAAAAAAAATTACATTCCATCAAGTAATTGTGGAAATATATTCGAAATAGATTTGCATCTGCAGAGTTTGAGATTTAAGGGGGGAGCGTATCGAAGTGTGCGTCGGCTTCAAACACACTTGTGTGGTATGACTCTAAAGTCTATGTTGGTGTGTGTCATACTTAAAAACACATATCTCAGCCCTTTTGGCACAAGATGTTCCATGCTGATTTGAAGCAGTGTTAGGAGGTAACAGTGCATGCAGACATACAATAGCTGGATATCAAACAATGCCTGTGATCTCTGTGTAAACTCTGCAAATGTTCAAGGTCAGGAAATACTCTGCGTGTATTTGCAATTTAGGATTTTTTTGCCAAAATCAGACTCAGAATATCACTATTTCGTGATACATTAAAAAATGAATAACTTCTTTCAAGAAAATTGACTTTGGATAATTTCAGTAAGCACATGCTGCAAAAAATACATCTGTGAATTATACTGTAACTGTAACGATTTGCATAACACATTATATAACACAGAATACATCTTAACAAAAACAAGTAGGACATTAGTGTAGCATTAATCAGGAGTTGTCTTTGTGTGTCTTTCTCCATTTATCATATTTAAAAGGATGTCAGTTGCTGTCAACCAGGAGCAGCTGTCAAACTTGTTTTTACTCTGTGTCCCACCTAATGTCTGGAGGCAAGTGTTTAAGTAGTGTGTGTGAGTGTGTGAGAGTTTTTCTCAGTAGAAACGACAGCCTTTGACCTTTACAGCTGTGGCTTAACAAGAGAGAAAGCAATAACATCTAATAAGGTGTTACAACTTACAAGATATCAAAATATGTCAGAAACAGTTTGCAAATGCATGTCACATTTCATACGTTTTAAAGTATGTCCCAACTTGTGTCACAAGTGAAAATGGTCCCCACAACGACATAACTGCAAGAACACAAACACACTCTGCCTCCAGCTGAGTTTGGAGGGGAGTGGCACTGAGGAAAAACGTGTTTTGGCTCAGATGGTTGGGGAGGGACAGAGAGGTGTGGTCACCAGCCTCCAAAAACGATCATTCCCTGACGCCTGAGTTCAGTCTGCATCGGAGAGACCGAGGGACCGGGGCCAGCGCACAGAGAGACTAACTTCGTGATGACTTTCCCCCAGTAGGGTTAGGGTGAGCATATCACTGCTAGAATGAGTAATTACGGGTCCCAGAATCGCCTGTACCATGGCCAGAGTTCGGCCTCCAAAGGCGACTTGACTGGCAGTTACGCACGCAGCGGTGGCGGTAATGGATACGATCCCTACCAGGAAGGATACAACACCTACACCTTTTCAAAGTCCTCTGGAGGCGGCATGCCGAGTGGAGCAATGATGAACGGAATGATGTCGGGAGGCACAATGTCCAACGGTATGGTGATAAAAGGCGGACATAGCACCATGATGAGCAGTTCGGGAGGCGGCATGTCAGGCGGCATGGGAGGCGGAATGGCAAGCGGCATGTCAGGCGGCATGGGAGGCGGAATGGCAAGCGGCATGGCAAGCGGCATGTCAATGTCAGGTGGAATGGGAGGCGGAATGGGAGGCGGAATGGCAAGCGGCATGGCAAGCGGCATGTCTATGTCAGGCGGAATGGGAGGCGGCATGGCAAGCGGCATGGCAATGTCAGGCGGCATGGGAGGCGGCATGGGAGGCGGATCGAGGTATGGCTCTATTTTCTTGTTTATTTTATTAGTTAATTTGCGCTTTCCTCACAGTCACCTGTTGCCAGTTTCTTTGCAGCAGGGGAACATGATGTGGCCCTCTCTGCAGGGAGGAGGCATGTAAGCCTGCAAGCTGGTTGCCATTAAATATTGATGATGACAGGGCAGGCTCTTTCGTCCCAGCATACATTCCTTTCCAAGTCCTGTCATTTGCAGGTTAAACACATTTCCCCAAACAATGCATGATAATATGTGCAGGGACCATGATTGAAGTGAAATGTTTCTGCATAATACAAATCTGAACTTTGAAACAACTACGGTGTCATTACGTTTTGGAACAGTTATTAATGAATTAAGGTTTAACAAAGTCATCCGGTCTCCATACAAATCCAAAGGAGGTTGCATGATTCATGTCAAAGTGTGTGTGCCTTCATAGTTTGTTTGTTGAAGGAGTTATCGTTTCACCTGACTCTTTTATTGCATTGATAACACACTGAGATAATAAAACCAAGCTGCACTGCAATGTCTCAATCATGATTTAAAGCTGATGTTCTGCTGATTCCAAAGAAATGCTGACATTCTTCCGTCCCTGTAGAGAATAACTGAGTTTAATTTATGGCTCTTAGTGAGCTGCTACATTCCCTCTGCTGTGACAGCTCTACTCACTTGTTCCAGAAACATGTGTATCAGTTTCAGACCTTCCACACTATCACCCACAGGGGAAATATGGCACTGTGGTACTTTGGGAGAAGTGCAGACAGGGCATCTGGCTGACACAATCCCAAGATGTCGACACAATGAAATATATTGTAGTATAATAGTTTCTGGTTCAGTTATTTGTTAAGAATGAATATCATGTAGTTTCTGATTTCTATGAGCAGGTTTGGTAGAGGCCTCAAACAATTGGTGGTGGTGTTTTTCAAATTAAAATCCTCACAATTCTTCAGAAATGTATAACTTGACTGATAACCTGACCTGGCCCATAGATCAGCAGCATTTTGGCAGGAACATCATTGTCCTCATCCTTGTTTTTTCAGTTTTCATTGCAGTTTTTGCATTCAACTACCTTTTTTATTTTTTGGAAGTGCAATTGTTCGTGGCACGTTTTGCAAGATATCGTTTTGTTGGCTTTGATTACATATTTTAATAAAAAAATGTGCCTATACTGTATATTATGTAAATAAAAGAAAGTAGAAATCATCTTTTTATTAACTAATTTTCAATTCCAGTATCGGCCTCAAATCCCTTATTTGCCAGACACCAACTTTTAGTGTAACCACTGCATGTGATGATAATGATAATGTTTTTATTATGGAGCCATGCATACCAGCTCGTAACAGCTCACAAGTGCACATTTCTAAATACAAATGTAGTGTTCGAACTTAAATCATTCCAGTTAACATAAGTAGACTGTTCGTTCAAAATGTTTGATGACACATCTTTGTATTACTGTTTTACTGTTACATACTCATACAAAGGCTAATGTGATGCACAGGACATGACATCAAAACTGTGTGGTCTTAGTGGTGAAACAAATTGAAAATGCTCACTTCTCCTTGCATTACATAATACGAACGTTTGTGACCACTGATTGGTGGTTATGCATTTCCTACATATGCATCTGAAGATTATTATAACAATGAGCTCGATAGTGACACTTTTAACTCTGCTGCCCCCTGCTGTGGTTTCAGCACCATCCACCAGAAGGCCGTGCTGCTGCAGAACCAGTGCCAGGAGTACCTGAAGAAAGCCGAATACGCCCTTCAATCTGTGAGTCATGACTGGTTGTTATTGCGTTACTGTGGCTGTTCTGTGGCTGTTCCTTCAGGGATGCAATACAATCCTGTCTGAGTCAGATCTAATTCTGTACGATTTTATCGATAGACGTGGAAAGATTGACTTGTTGTCAAAAAAACTTGATAAGAGAGGCTCTACTGTGAGAACATGTGAAAGGAACCAGGCTGATAGGCTTTTGTTGGGCCTGTTTTTTATTGTTTGTTTTTTTGCAAAGTAGTAAATTAGTGACAAACCAATTGTTTTTAATGCATAACATTGGTGTGTGATTTATGGCTCCGTGGCATATCCAAATAATCCAACAGACATATTATAAAGTTTTAACAACATAAGAACATAACAAAAAAAAAATTGCAGATACATTCAAAAACCTTCATTGGTAAACATTGAATGAATCAGATAAAAATGGCGAAAAAATCTTAGATATTACTCATTTTGCAAACAGAAATATCCAACATCTTTCACATTTTCTAGAGACTGAAACACTTCTGTATCAATATTGTTGGCCTCTGCACTGTGGTTTTGTACACCTCCCTGATTGTTTGGGTTATACCTTGCAGGGCGGTTCCCCGGCTGATGTAGAGCGCTACATGATGCTGGCTAAAGAGTCTATAGTGCACATGAGGAACTGCGCCATGGACCTGAGACAACTGGGACAGCCCAATGACAACGTAGTGAGGACGTAAGGAAGACTTCTCCCTTTCCTTCATCCTCCTCTGAATAGCCTTTTAAAAAAAATCCTACATCTCCTTACTCTCTTCATTACTCGTAGATTGGAGGTATGTAAAGATCAGCTGAAGGTAGTCCAGATGGCCATGACGGGCAGCCTGCACAGGAGGAGGAGCACCAGAGTAAGCTCGGGAGGATGGGAGGAGCCTGGAAGGAGCTTCCAAGATGCTATTGGATGGATTGCACAACGCAAGGTTTGCATGCATGCACGCACGCACGCACACGCACATACACACACACACACACACACACACACACACACACACACACACACACACACACACACACACACACACACACACACACACAAAAAGGGCTTTATTTTTCTCAGGTGAGGTAAAAAAGTGAGGCCATACATGCATTTGATTGACAGTATAACTGGCTACAGTATGGTTATATATTTAGTTTAAGAGATAAGGTTATTTATAAAATATTTTCACCATTGAACATTTATTACTTAGATATAGGTTTGGTCCCTTTATTTAAAGCCATGTCAGTCAATATAAGAGTGATAGGAAGTTCCAATTCTGGCGTTTGACTTTTTGGGAAGGGACGACCATTTCAATCACATTTTCAAATTGCCCCTTTAATAAAAAAGTGTTTAGCATCCTAATTATGCTTACACTGATGTGGTTCCTTGGTGACCTGTTTTTTAGAAGTTGAACCAGCCCCTAGAATATGGCTTAACATGTTTTTATATTTGTTTATGTTTTTAATTGATCAAATCGTTCCGATTACAGTTTGCATAATTTGAAATGGCATTGATATACAATGCAGAAACACAACAATAAAAACAAAAAAACACAATTTAGAATAGGAAAGCCTTATGCATGGCAAACAGATGCTTTTCAAGCCTTTTCATGCTCATTAATACTTTAAAGCTAGATGTGTACATGAATGCATTCCTTTGCTGTAAGTAGTTATTGTGGAATGAAGAACACTTAAGATGACACAGTTTACTTTTTGAAAGATGGTTTTGTTTTGCCTTCAGTTCTCTGACCAATGTTCTTCTGGTAGATTCCTGAGGGTTTTGGTGAAAGGCTCATAAAATTCAAAAAGAATAAATAAAATAAATCTTGCCGCCACCTGCTGGTCACATTGAGTATGCATATCAGGCAAATGAGAGGCACTCCCTCTCGTGTCTGAAAAACAATGTGTGTTTCTGCTGATGTAAATACATGTTTGTGTTTCAGCGTCTGATTGAGACGGCCCCCTGGGGAGACGACCCTGCATCCATCGAGCAGCAGGTCCTCAGCCACCAGAGCTTCCACAGCGCCAACCAGAGGTCTGCAGAGGTGGACCGGGCCAGAGAGGACCTGGTGGGTTCAGCTGGAACAATGCCAAATGTATTAGTGCTGCAAACAGAAGTCCCAGTGATAGGTTTTTTGAGAGCACATAACATAACATACCTACCCAAAGACTTTATATTCTACTTACTCAATTTTAATCGGGATTTCAGACTGGCATCTCAATACACACAATGACATATGTATCTTTTTTCAAAATAACAAATCTTGTAAAAAAAAGAAAAGAGAACATACAAGCAACCTACATTGACTAATAAATGTTAGTTTTCATGTTCAACATGTTGAAAATGAATTAAATATCCTTTAATTTGTTTTTGATATATCATAGAAAACACTAAAACGGGTGGTTAATATAGTAATTGTACTTAAATTATGTATTATACAACTAGAGGGACTCAGATTGAAGAAATCATTTTCAAAGATTCCACAATCTTCAATATGGAGATTTCCGGATTTTATATAAGTTTGAGTTTATGGAAACTTTCCCTAACCTAACCCTAAACTACATATGTTTTTTTTGTGCCAACTAAACAAGACATTTTGAGAAACTGTGATTCATATTTTTCACTCTTATCAGCATTTTAGGGATTATTGTGTTACAAAGCATACATAATAAAATGAACCCTTAAACACATGAAATAACTACAAAACAATCCACAAGTCAAACAAATAAATTATATAAAAAGGGGAAAAATGGATTAACAATAACTTATAAGCTATTGCTTACACATAATGGATTCAACATTATTACTCATACATACATTAATCATCACATCTTACCACATGGTCATTATTAAAGTTTTGTGTTCTATCATCATTTTTCTAATCTTTTATCAAGGTCTCTTATTCTCATGGTTATTCTTTCCATTCCATACATTTTATTTACTAGCTTCTTCAACTGTTAGGAATGACCTTATACATATTTAACTAATTACTTTTAATATGTTTAATAATTGATATTCTTACAAGGAATAAGTAAGAATAAGAAAACAATTGTGTATTTCCTATGGTGCTTTCCCAAGTGATAGTATTAGAGGGTTATTGTTGAATCACTGTCTACTCACTAACTTGAGTTTGGTTCTTTTCCCACAGATGAAGAATGGAGACAAGGGGAATCTTCATGCTCTGGATCAGGAATGGGAGAGTCTGCAGGTGAAAAAACCCCCCCAGCACTTTACCACAGTAGCTGACACTCCTACTTGTGTTTTCAGGTGCATTGTTGTATTTAAACATACTCTTATTTTCCCTTTCTAGCAAATGTCCATTGGTCGAACCGAGCAGTTGCAGGAGCTCAAGAAAATCATTCAGGATATTTCCAGAGAGATCATGTGGGTGAACGAACGGGAGGAGGAGGAGCTGATGTTTGACTGGGGAGACAAGAACATCGACAAATACATCCCGAAGAAGCAGGAGGGCTACTCGGTTAGTACAATGACTCAAAGATTACAAGTTCAGCGAGAACCAGGAGAGAATTGGATTGGTCCAATGGAAATCCATATTTAGGAGCATCTAACTAGTCTATTAACATTCTTGGCAATCCTGTACATCTAAAATACTTTAATTTATGAATTTAATCTGCATTTCATGAGGGAGCAATCATCTGGGATACATTCGATGTTTGGCAGCTGCAGTCAGTCATCCACTTAGAGCGGAGCCACAGAGTGTTCCTCCAGCTGCATCCCGGTGTTTTCTGTGTCCCCTGTGTCCCCTGTGTCCCCTGTGATTACTGAAACTCTTCTTACATCACAGAAACTGATGAGTGCCCTGGAGGAAAAAGAGAAGGACTTGAATAAACTCAAAGGAACAGTTGATACACTCCTGAAGAACAACCATCCGGCTTCAGACAAGATCGAGGTGTGTACCGACCCCGTCATCATTTGACCAACACAGTGTTTACATGCATTTACATGTGTGTAGGGGCCTTATCTAATATTACTCTATTTTTTGTTTTGTTTGTGTTTTTCAGGCTTACAGTGACACTCTGCAGACTCAGTGGAGTTGGCTCCTTCAAATCACCAAGTGCATTGATACTCACCTGAAGGAAAATGGCGCTTACAACCAGGTAGAAGGACACAACATAATAGCAACAGATATCATTGCTTTAAATAAGCATTTCATGCAAAGCAGCTAGCAAACTGGAGACACATTTGTTTAAAGACTAGCTGGTAAACACAGTGAAGCATTTAGTATTTGAAGGGGCTGATACTGTATTTCCCTAAGGCGTTGGTGGTGGTGACCAAAAGTTGAGCTAAAAGAAGAGTAAGAAACGGTGTTAAGCTGGTGATTACATTTCTATATAGCAGGGGGTCTACTGGTTAAGTTACTGGTTCGATGTAAGCTGTTGATATTTTTTTATTGTTTTCTCCCCCCATCATTTCCTGTCTCCCCCTGAATGTTCAAATATCCAATACAGGCCAAATAATTGCAAAAAAACAACAATTTTCAAACTTAAAACCCCACTTAAAAAGATGCATTTTTGATCCATTGATACTAATTATCCCTTTTATGCATCCTAGTTCTTTAAAGAGGCCAACGAGACGTACAGCAAGCTGCAGAAGGAACACGAGGCGGTCCGTAAGAAGTTCATCTGTGACAAGAACACTACTCTGGAGGACCTAGGGGAGATGCTCAATGGGCTGGAGGTAAAACAGCTTGTTATTTTGTCAATTTCACCTTTAATAAGAATATCTGATTCTGTAGATGTAGCTAAAACTCATCTTTAAAATGTGACCTTTATTTTGGAGTAAGTTGTTAAGACCTGCTGTATAGTCTACTGTACCTCCTATTTTATGCATTTTCCCTGCCTTTTTTCATCGTGTGTTGAATAAGATATTGGTATTATTACTGTTTTCTGTTTGAATAAGCCACAGAACAGTTTGTTATTATTATTATTATTATTATTAATCTGCATTATTATTGTTGTTGATCTTGTTTTTGTTTTATGTTCTTCAGAGAGAGAAAGAGATCATTATGGAAAACAAGAGGCAGGTTCAACATCTGGTCCACAAGTCCAGGAGCATTGTGAGGCTGAAACCCAGAAACGCCGAAGACAAGAGCAGCAGCCAAGTCATCGTCAAAGCCCTGTGTGACTTCAAACGAGAACAGGTCAGTTCTTTAAGTATGATACACTCTTGGGAATACATTAATATCAGTTAATAAGTAAGTAAGTGATTCTTTATTGAAATAGCACCTTTTTAAAGGGGCCCTATTATACTTTCTGTAGTGTGACTGTGTTATCTAGGTTGTTGTGCATGTAAATGGTCTGCACATTTAAAATCCCAAAGTTCCCAGGAGAGGGAGTTTCTCTCCCACACACTCACACATTGAAACAGAACAATTAGCATAATAGGTCATTTTAAAACAAAGTTACAAAGTGTAAACATAAACAGTTATAAATAGAGGGCACACATACAAATACAGAAGCCACACATAAATGACAGCTTCTATGAATGCTTATGTTCTATCTTATGTTCCCAGAAAAGCTTTCTAAAACTTGTCTTTATTGAAGAATTTCATTTTTCCGGACTCCACAGAAGGTGATCTGTAAGGGAGATGAGGCGATCCTAAATAACAACAGTCAGCGCAGTAAGTGGGACATTACAGGTCCGGGAGGCCTGGATATGTCGGTGCCCTCTGTGTGCCTGATCGTACCCCCCCCCAACCCACTCAGCATCAGTCTGGCCAACAAGTAAGGGGCAACAATTGTTTCTTTGGCAGAGAAGAAGGTGCAATAAATGTTGTTGTGAGGTAAAGGTTATTATTTTGTGTTATCCTTAGGAATGAGCAGTACTACGACGCCATCATGTCAATCTGGAATCAGCTGTACATCAACGTAAAGAGTCTCATCGCCTGGCAGTACTGCCTCATTGATATCAGACAAATCAACTCCCTCACCATGACCATGGTAAGTGATGAATACACTCTCTGAAGTTAGCCTAAAGTGTTATTATCATTAGTTTAAATGAAGTGCATTTCCCTACATTTTGGTTTCTGTTTCAAACGTAATGTTTGTTTGTGTGTGTGTTCAGCTGTCCCGCATGCCTCCTGAGGAATACCGACAACTCATCAAGCGCATGGAGACTCGCTTCGAGGAGTTCAAATCGTGCAGCTACGGCTCCGAGATGTTTACTGACGATGACAAGCGTGGCCTGGATAACCAGATCACCGGAGCCCAGACCCACTACGAGGAGCTGGTGGTTCAGCTGCCTGCTTACAGTCAGTATTACACCAAATAGACACCTTGCTCTCCTCTGCATGAAAACAATTTATTACATCTTAGATTTTTGATTGTTAACTGTGTCATTTTGTTTTGATAATGAAAAAAATAATGATTAGACGCCAATGAAAGCAACGGCCACGAATCACAATTTATTTGAGATCTTAATAATAATGCACCCTCTGTTCTTTTAATTTGAAGTCCCCTAATCACAATAACCAGCTAATTATGTTTTCGACAACCAATTATTAAAAAAAACCATCTGTCTTCTCACAGCTGGGAAACTAGAAGCAGAGGATCAGCAAAACACACAGTACCTGATCCTGATACAGCAGCAGCAGCAGCAGCAGCTGCTACTGGAGCAACAGGCTGCAGCAGAGGCGGAGGCCAGGAGACTTGAAGAACTACGAAGAAGAGAAGAGGTTAAGAAAGTGAAGAAAATAGAGGTCAGAGTGGTAAATAAAGTGAAGAAGGAAGAAGTTAAAGCCACCAAGGCAGAGGTGGTGAAGAAGGTGGGGAAAGGGTCCTCCTCTTCTTCCTCCTTCTCGTCCTCCCGCAGTTTATCTGAGCTGCACACGCTCAGACTCAAGCTGGAGGGCGCCGAGGGCACGCTGAGTCAGCATGTTCACATCTGCCTCGGAGATGACGGGATACGCGACTGTGGCCTCAAGATCTCTCAGTTAGAGGTAGACACACAAACTCATTAATACAAGAAAAACAGTTTACAGTATTAAATGGTTACAGAAAACTAATATTGTTCCAAATACGTACGCATTGCAATAATTGTAATTGATTGTATGTTTCCCTACAGACGGTGCAGCAGGATGTCCACTCCATGAACGAGGAGTACGTACGTCTGAGGGAGCAAATCTTGAAGGAGCTGGAGGGCATGAATGACCCGGATAAAGCCCAGTTCCTACGCAGTGAGATTGAGATTATTAACCAGAGACTGGGCGTTCTTGAGAGCAGCTCGTCAGCTTACCTGCAGCGGTAAGATCCCAAACTAAGATGTCCTAACGTTACTTAGTATATTAATATGACCCTTTTTTACATTTTGTATATGTTACTTAACCAATAAATATGTAAAATCAGCTACTCTGACTCATTCATCTCACACATCATCAACTAAATATATGATTTCCATTGTATTTCTTCCTGTCTATCAGGCTCCAGGCTCTAAGGGACATGCTGGAGAGCGTGGCAAGAGCTGAAGACATAGTGAAAGTTCATGAAGCAAGGCTAACAGAAAAAGAGACCACTTCCCTGACGCCCAGTGAGGTGGAGGATTACATGTCGACCCTTAAGGTATTTGATAGAACATCTTACAATTTCACCCATTTTTTGCAACAATAGCTGCAATTTGCACCAACCAGCTTCTGACTTTTTTACATATCATGCTACTTGAAAATATCTTGATTACATGTGACGTTTTTTTCTGTGTTGTTGATGTGTAGAATATCAAAGCAGAGCTGGATCAGAAGAAGTCAGTGTTGGCCTCCATGGAGGCGGAGTTATCCCAGGCCAACCACTGGAACGGCCAGGTGGGCGTGCCCTTCTACAGGTGTGACATGATGCTGTCCAAATACAGTGAGCAGGTGGGCTTGCTGACAGACCGCTGGAAGCGAATCCAAGCTCAGATTGACACCAGGTATGGCTTCCTCTCTCTCTCATATCTATTTTATACAAATGCCACCACCAACTGGTTGTTGCATGCACATTTAAGACAGATTTATGAATCTAAAAAGGCTCAAGCATTCTCATGTATTTGTTGAATGTATGGCATCTTTTTAATAGTGAGACGCGTCAAATTAAATGTAAGAGGAGATGAGCTAATGTTGAATATTTCTGTTACTTTAACGATTTTTTGATCAATACACAGGCTATGAGGCAAAATTGCTAACATTTTATAGCTTATTCTTTGTTGCTTAATTTCTATGAATTGTAAATCGAACACCTTTTGATTTCTGAATGCTGATCGGGTAAAATCTTTTTTAGGTGACACCTTGGGCTCTCGGGACTCGTGATGGGCATTTTTCATTATTTCTTGACCTTTTAAACATGCAGTTAATAAATGAATTAAGAAAATCTGCAATCTATAAAACAATCATATAATACAGCCCTTGACACAGGACGGCTTGCATCGGATTAGAGTTTTGTGTAAACAGGATCTCATTCCTCCTAGTTTCTGTCTCCGTATCTCACATTCATTCATAGTAATCTTCATTTATACTGAAAAACATGAAGAAGATGTGTTTCTTTATTTCAATTGTGTTCTCATGCTTGCACAGAGTCCAGGATTTGCAGATGTATCACCCTCAGCTGAAGCACTACAAGCAGACCAGCACCTCCATTATTGACTGGATTGATACCACACGGAAGAAACAAGACAGCCTGCAGGCCACCAAGATCGAGAGCATCCCTGCACTGACGGAGCATATTACCAAACAGAAGGTGTCCCGCTCAGCCATTTGTTTCTATTCATTAACTTATACACTATGATAGGTTTTTATGTCCATGTGTTTCAATTCATCTGACATCTTTATATTATTGTTTCCCTAAAGACTCTGAACTCAGAAATCAAAGCGAAGAGGGAGACAGTGGAGCGAGTGCTGAGGGACAACGAGGCCTGTGTGAACTCTATCAAGGTGAGGAGACCTTCATAGATACAAATTCACTTTTTTGAATCAAATCATAGTACGGATGTACCAATGCATCGGTCAGACACGCTGGGAAGAGGTTTCCCAACTCCTAAACTTTGTCTAAAGTGGCACCGCTCGCTCAGACTCCGTCGCAGCGGAGCAGAAGTCATCTATCCGAGGCAAACGCACCGAAACTCACCATCAAAAACAAAAGGAATCAAATGAAAACACTGACTTTTGGAACTTAAAATGTCCTGAGGAGGACTGAGGAGACAATAGTGAGGAGACAATAGTACAGCAGACCAAAGAGATTTCGTAAAAAATATTATTAAGATTTTGGTCTCATTCAAAGATAGTGTTATCAAGGGCAGACAAATATATTGTAATATCTTTTTATTTGAAAATGATTTTTTTTCCTGGCACAAATAAGAAAATAACAGATTTTTTGTGCACAACTGTCAAACATTTCAAAAATATGTAAAAAACAAGAAAGTCATTATTATTATTGCTTTTCTATACTAACTGATCAATACTCAAACAATCAACTAAACCAACTATCCCTCTTCTTCAACATAATTTCACTGATTGATACGCACATACTTTTAATATTCGTGGTGTTTTGTAAATGTATTGTTATTAAAGTACAGCATTACTTCCTTTGTACATTGTTTGTGCAGTCTTACATTTCCCCAGATCACTTCATTTGAATGAAACAAAAACATGTGTTGGCGTGCTCCTGATATCACCGTTTGTTTTTCAGGACTATGAGACAGACTTGGCAGCTTACAGCTCTGGTTTAGAGACTTTGCTCAACATCCCCGTCAAAAGGACAATGCTGAAGTCGCCAACGATGGATCTCAATGTGGAAGTAATAAAACTGGAAAAGTTGTCTATCATTAAAAACTGAAACAAAATTGAGTGCATTTATTAATGAATGTTATAAAAGGGGATCAGTGACATTTCTCAGAAACTGTGAAGTTGACTTATGTTCTTTCTAAATTAATCCTTGAGTTTGCCTTGTTTTTTCCAGGCTACACAACTGCAAACCCGTTACATGGAGTTGCTCGCCCATTCTGGTGACTACTCCAAATTCCTGGGAGTGCTGCAGAAAAACATGGAGGAGCTCAAGGTACTGTTATAATTATTATTTTTAAAACATCAAAATGTTGTGTCTTACTGAAGGTTTTAGCTTTGTTTGTTTGTTTGTTTGTGGTCCTGCCAGGGGACTATGAATAGACTAGTATTTGGCTTCATTTGTTGCATACACAGTAGGTGATCATTATTAAATAAATGAATGCTCATTGTACACAATGTTGAAAGATTAAAGTTGAGTTACACTGAGGGAACACTTAGGTGTTGGAAATGTAATATTAAAGGTGCACTAATTAGCAGAGAACTCAAAAGTCTATACCCAATTTAGCAGTTATTCTCAGCTCTAAAGCACGCTTCAGTGTTATTATTATTTTACATTTCAAGATGGAACAAGTTAGAGTCAAGCTGTTGAAGAAATTGTAGCTTCTAGAAGCTAAAGAGACAGATGTTTTTCCTCCGAAGACTGTGGCAATCTGAAGCAAGCTAAAAGGAGCAGGATATTGGCAGGATTTGACCTTAAGCTAAATGTAACATTGCGTGTGGTCAATATTTAAATAGCCAAATGTCTCATAAGACCACATCTAGGTGATGATGTGCCAGTCGCAAAGTTCTGTAAACTACCGCTGCATTCACCTTTGCTTCATCTTGCTTTCAGATTCGTAACACCAGGATTGACCTGTTGGAAGAAGAACTTCGCCAGCTGAGAGAGAACATGCAAGACAGCCATGCCAAGAACAAATCTCTGGAAGACGCCGTTACACGTTACCAGCTGGAGTTGTCCAACTCGAAGGACCAGCTGCTGTCATTGGAGGAGGTGAAGCAGATAACTACGCAGCAGTGCAATGCCACCAAGGACAGCCTGGACGGCTACCAGAGCCAAATGTCAGACCTCAACGATCAGGTGATTCGTCTCCAATATATGCTCGATGAAGAAAAGAGGAAGAAGAAGCTGGCAGAGGAGCGCTACACTACACAGCAGGAGGAGTACGAGTTGGTGCTGAGGAAGAGGCAGAAGGAGCTGGAGACGGTCAGCTGGTCCAAGGTGGAGTTGGAGAAGAATGTGTCGACTAAGGAGCACGAAATCGAACAGCTGCGGCGGCAGCTGGCTGAGGAGGCAGCAAGGATCAAGGAGCTTCAGAGGGAGATGTCAAAGGTAAGGAGCCAATGCAGTACGGAGATCAATAATTTAAAGCTCAGCTACGAATCCCACATCCATGTCAGCCGCACAGACATCCATAGGCTGTCAGCCAAGAAGGAGGAGGATACAGCAGATCTCCAGCTGCAGTACAACGCGGTGGAGGCAGAGAGGAGGGATCTGGAGGAGCAGCTCAGCATGCTCAGGATGTCTATGAGCAAGGCTGAGGAACAACGGCAAAGGGCAGACATAGAAGCTCACAGCCAGCGCTCTGTCGCCGAAGAGGAAGGGTGCAGGCGGAGAGATCTGGAAATTGAGTTGGAGCAGCTGAGGAGTCAGAGTGATGAGGAAATGAGCCGGTATAAAAAGGAGCTGGCGGAGGTCATGAAGAGACTGCAGGAGAAGAGTGACGAGCTGGCCTACATAACTCACAGTCTGGAGGAGGAGACCCGCAGGAGGAGAACTATAGAGGAAGGGCAGGTTGTGCTTGAACAGACATTGGCCCAGCTGCAGGTGAAGCTAACCAGTTCATCAGTGGCTTTTACCCAGTTGGGCGTGTGCGAGGAGGAGCTTCTGAAGATCCGCTCCGATCTGGAAAAGGAGAGCAGGGGGCGAATCAGAGTAGAACAGAATTTAAGCAAGTTACAGGGACGAATGAAAGACATTCAGGATGTTAGAGATGGGCTGGAGAGCCAAGTGGAGAATCTGAGGAAGGCTAACCAGGAGGAAGTGTCCAGAAGAAGGCAAGTAGAAAGAGAGCTGGAGAACACCACCAGTGCCATGACAGAGTACGTCAGCACCCTTACCACTCTACGCCAGAGCCAAGAACATACCAGTATGTCAGAGAAGAAAGGTGAAGCAGAGCGTCTTAGGTTGCAGGAGGAACTGGAGAGAAGTTTCAAACAAAACAAGGCATCTGCAGAGCGCATGACACAGATGAGTGCCGAGCTGAAGGCTCTGCAGCAACAACTCCTCCAGGAGCAGGCCAGAGGCAAAGAGGCAAACCTCAGGAACGAGAGCCTTTACAAAACTATAGAAGAGAAGAGTAAGGTACTGAATGCGAACTCGGTTGAGCTTCAAAGGTTAAAGGTGACGACAGAAACCCAGACCAAAGAGAGGCTCAAGCTAGAGGAGGAACTCAGGGCAACACGCCATGACAAAGAGGAACTCCTGAGAAGCAAACAGGGAAGTGCTGATGAGCTCTCCTCCCAGATCAGTGCCCTGGAGCTGCAGCTGAAGGCCAGTGAGCGCAGCAATGTAGATTACCACAACCTGATCTCAGAGCTTTCCTCAGAGAGGGAGAAAATCAAGCTGGAGACTGAGAAAATACGAAAGCAGGCCACCGAGGTACATCGAAGTTTGGCACTAAGTCGTGGACTGCTCTCCGCTTTCCAAATCAGAGTCCCAATTTGGATCAATCGAGTAGCTAATAGTAGCTTAATTCAAGTGTCCGCTTGCATGCTGGAACACCTCTAGTTCCTCTGTAGAAGCTGCCCACTTGGAAACTCTGATTTGAACACATACATGTCTGTATGTGTTTGCATAGATTTGCATGTCAGTAACTTTCATGCAAGCATACATTGTGCCTTTCTGCCTGCCGACCTCCCCAAACAACTGTCTCCCTGCCCACACTGTGCATAGATGTGCAGTCTGCATGCTTTGTTGGCTTTTTTCGCCCAGGATGATCAACAACAAAAATGACATCATTACCTCCAGTCCTCCACAGTTTGATGTTGTTTATCATTTCACTGAAGCATCTTGATGTACTTTAAGACACTCTTTGCAAACTTGTTAAAACAGCACTGCTATTCATTGAAATGATCCACAATTTATTACAGTATTAGAGGCACCTCTTCTTGTTAGGCCATTACATCAAGATTGAACCATCTATTGACATTAATATATGTGCTGTTTTACAAATTTACAAAATGTTCATAGTAGTAGTCAAAATAGTTGCTCTCTTTTTTGTATCTAAAGTTCTTATATACAATGTAGTTTGTCTTCAGGATTGGGAAGGTTGATTTTACAATGAAAATCCATTACTTTTGACATTTGAAAATGTGTTTTTGCTTCTTGATCATTTCAAAAAGAAAATACTACTGTAATGTCATTATTATATAGTGAAACTTCCCAGTCTTGTTAGACATTGTGCTGTTTGCACCTTTCTTCTGAAGGGAATCAGTTTACATATTATATTGGTCATTTAAAAATGCTAATTATATCTTGGCGGAACGCACACATACTTACTTTTTATTTTACTATTTTAATAATCGTTAAAATTGATTGAATCCATTCAATTGCTTTTTTAGATGAAATACTTCGGCATTTTCTGGTTTAATATACATTGTCCCATTTGAAATGAACATAGAAGCAGGACGAAGGGACACAAACTACAGCAGAACAGAACCAAAACATTTTGCGACATCCCTTCTGTCGCTTTTAATTAAAGTGGACCTATCATGCTATATTTGAATAATATAGTGTAGGACCATACCTATATAAGGCATATTTATACTTTTTTTTTTTCAAAATACCAAACAGATCATGCATTTTAGCCATGCCTCATTTTGCTCAATTTGACATTTTTTAGATCTGTTTTAGCAAGGGCAGATTCAGTGAGAACAGCACCATCTACAGGCCTGGCATATGTACTACAGCGTCTCCAGTGCTTTCGAACGGCAATGACCGTGGCTGTCTCCTCCTGATTGGTGGAGTTGGCCCAATAGCCGTAGCGCCACCGTCCTGACGTCAGGATCAGTTTTTATCAGATCCGTTGCAGCCCCTTTTTTAGAGATTTGGGTATGGAGGAAAATAGAGAGGGTTGTGTTTTCTGACACTTGGTGAGTTCCCTGGAACACCGGGGACACATATTCATGTATAAAAGACGTACAAAAGTGCATTTTGCATGATAGGTCCCCTTTAAGCTATGAGCTCAAATGTAAGACCTCCTTTCAGTATCCTGCTGCATGAATAGATCAAGTATGTGTGCTGTCCTCCTTTTATAGTATTTAACTTTAACAGTAAGGTTAACAAGCATCAGTACAAATTGTGTGTAGTTAATTTTGATAGTAGCATGATCATTTCTGATTCTATTCGAACATGTTCTATCCCAGTGTCATAGGTTGTGTAATTGTATACTGTGATGTAAAATGCATCAAATAATGCTTTGGATATGCAGTAAATATATCAATGTATTTATCAATCTTTCTCTTTTTTCCCTCTATTTCTCTACAGACAAAAGTCACCATGCAAACCATCGAGTCCCAGTACAGTGAGATAGAGATAGAGAGAGATAATCTTTTGAGGAAAGTACAATCATCAGACAAGGATAGTGATCGCTGCCGAATACTGGAAGAGGAACTCAGGCTCATTAAATCGTCCAAAGACTCTGAGCTTCGTCGTCTACAAGAGGATAACGAGAAGGTGAAGAAGGATTTAAATTACTGGAAGGACCAGTATGAAAGTAAGCAGGACACGATAAGGCAATATGATACAGAGAAGAATCGTATGGAGAGTGAAAAGAAGAGTTTGAAAAGTGAGATAGATAGGCTGATGCGGGAACTCAAGGAGCTTGATGAGAAATATAAAAGTAGGCTGTCAGACATGGAGAAGGAACTGAGGGATGTGGTCGTTGTCAGAACAAACATGGAAACTCAGCTGACAAAAGCTAGAGAGACGCCAGCCGTGGATCCCTCCTCTTTGGTTTTTGATGGAGTCCGTAAGCCAGTCACAGCAGACCAGTTGCTTGACTGTGCAGTCTTGGACCAACCAACATTTAGCCAGCTTGTAAAGGGACAAAAGACTGTCCCTGGGGTGTCTGATGACAAAAAGGTGAATCTCAAAGGGACAGGTCCAATAGCTGGGGTGGTAGTTGAAGGTCCGAAAGGTCCAGGGTCTATTATTGGACCCCTATACAAAATGACATTAACCGAAGCCAAGAAAGAGAATCTTCTGCCACCAGATTGCGTTTACCTGCTATTGGATGCACAAGCTGCAACAGGCCACATCATTGACCCCAGAACTAATCAGAAGTTTACAGTTGAAGAGGCATGTGCTCAAGGTGTGGTTGATGAAGAGGAAAGGGAGAGGTTGCTAGCAGCAGAGGGTGCAGCTGTAGGATATCGTGGTCCTGGCACCAGCAAACCCCTATCAGTATTTCAGGCCATGAAGAAAGGACTAATTGACAAGAACACAACATTGCGTCTGCTACAAGCCCAGGAGTCTGTGGGGGGCATTCTAGATCCTGTACTTAGTGTGTTTCTTCCCAAAGACAAAGCCATTGAGCGTAACCTAATTAATGATGACATAAAACGTGCTCTGAATCAGGAGCCTGAGCTGTACATGGACCCAGAAAGTGAAGATGGTGTAACCTATATGTCAATGAAGAAGAGATGCAAGGTAGAACTACACACAGGCCTTCTTCTGCTTCCTGTCCCTGAGAAGGTAGATCATTCCAAACTAGTCTTTGATGGTGTTCGGAAACCTGTCACAGCCAAGCATCTGCTGGATTGTGGTGTCCTGGACAAGCCAACGTTTAAAGATCTGGAAAAGGGAAAGAAAACGGTTCCGGAGGTGTCTGATGACAAAAAGGTGTCACTGAAAGGGACTGGGCCTATTGCTGGGGTTGTAGCTGGGACTAGAGGGAAAATGTCTTTCACAGAAGCCAAAAAACAGATGCTTATTAGTGAAGATAGTGCAGATTTGCTACTGGAAGCCCAAGCTGCCACAGGCCACATCATTGACCCTAAAACTAATCAGAAGCTAACTGTAGAGGAGGCATGTGCCAGAGGGGTGGTAGACATTAGGGATAGAGACAAACTATTGGCAGCTGAAGCTGCTGCTGTTGGATACAACCATTATGGTACAGCCAAGCCTCTCTCAGTGTTTGAGGCCATGAAGAAGGATGTTATTGACAGAGAGGCTGGACTACGTCTGCTGCAGGCCCAGGAGTCTGTGGGCGGCATTCTAGATCCTAATCTTAGTGTGTTCCTCCCTAAAGACACAGCTATCAAGCGCAGACTTTTGGATGAAAACCTCAGAAAAGCTCTAAACCAGAGTCCTAAGTGTTACCTTGACCCAGAAACTGAGCTTGAAGACAGCTATGAAGCATTGAAAAAAAGATGCACAATAGAGCCTCACACAGGTATGTTACTTTTGCCAATTACTGAGAAGCAAGACCCTTCCAAACTGACTTTTGATGGTGTCCGTAAGACAGTTACAGCGCAGCAGTTGCTTGATTGTGGGGTCTTGGACAAACCAACATTCGACCAACTAATAAAGGGAGAGAAAACTGTCCCAGAGGTGTCTTTGGATAAGAAGGTGTTTTTAAAGGGGACCGGATCAATTGCTGGGGTAGCAGCTGGACCTATGGGGAAAATGTCTCTATCGGAGGCTAAGAAACAAATGCTCATGCCCTCAGAGAGTGCAGATTTGCTCCTGGATGCACAGGCTGCCACGGGTCACATCATTGACCCTTTAACCAATCAGAAGCTGACCGTAGAGGAAGCATGTGCTCAAAGAGTGGTGGACATTAGGGATCGAGATAGACTCTTGAAAGCAGAAGCTGCGGCTGTAGGCTACCGGGATCCTGACACAGCAAAGCCTCTGTCAGTGTTTGAGGCAATGAAGAAGGGTCTAATTGATAGGAAGACTGGGCTTCGTCTTCTGCAGGCCCAGGAGTCTGCCGGAGGCATTCTAGATCCTAATCTCAGTGTGTTCCTTCCTAAAGACACAGCTATCAAGCGTAACCTTTTGGATGAGGACCTCTATCGGGCTCTAAACCAGAGTCCTTCGTGCTACATTGACCCAGACACCGAGCGCGAAGCCAGCTATGGGTCTTTAAAGAAGAGAAGCAAAACAGAGTCTCACACAGGCCTGATACTTCTGCCAATAACTGAGAGGAAAGACCCTTCCAAACTGACTTTTGATGGTGTCCGTAAGACAGTTACAGCACAGCAGTTGCTTGATTGTGGGGTCCTGGACAAACCAACATTTGACCAACTAATAAAGGGAGAGAAAACTGTCCCAGAGGTGTCTTTGGATAAGAAGGTGTTTTTAAAGGGGACCGGATCAATTGCTGGGGTAGCAGCTGGACCTATGGGGAAAATGTCTCTATCGGAGGCTAAGAAACAAATGCTCATGCCCTCAGAGAGTGCAGATTTGCTCCTGGATGCACAGGCTGCCACGGGTCACATCATTGACCCTTTAACCAATCAGAAGCTGACCGTAGAGGAAGCATGTGCTCAAAGAGTGGTGGACATTAGGGATCGAGATAGACTCTTGAAAGCAGAAGCTGCGGCTGTAGGCTACCGGGATCCTGACACAGCAAAGCCTCTGTCAGTGTTTGAGGCAATGAAGAAGGGTCTAATTGATAGGAAGACTGGGCTTCGTCTCCTGCAGGCCCAGGAGTCTGCCGGAGGCATTCTAGATCCTAATCTCAGTGTGTTCCTTCCTAAAGACACAGCTATCAAGCGTAACCTTTTGGATGAGGACCTCTATCGGGCTCTAAACCAGAGTCCTTCGTGCTACATTGACCCAGACACAGAGCGCGAGGCCAGCTATGGGTCTTTAAAGAAGAGAAGCAAAACAGAGTCTCACACAGGCCTGATACTTCTGCCAATAACTGAGAGGAAAGACCCTTCCAAACTGACTTTTGATGGTGTCCGTAAGACAGTTACAGCGCAGCAGTTGCTTGATTGTGGGGTCTTGGACAAACCAACATTTGACCAACTAATAAAGGGAGAAAAAACTGTCCCAGAGGTGTCTTTGGATAAGAAGGTGTTTTTAAAGGGGACCGGATCAATTGCTGGGGTAGCAGCTGGACCTATGGGGAAAATGTCTCTATCGGAGGCTAAGAAACAAATGCTCATGCCCTCAGAGAGTGCAGATTTGCTCCTGGATGCACAGGCTGCCACGGGTCACATCATGGACCCTTCAACCAATCAGAAGTTGACAGTAGAGGAAGCATGTGCTCAAAGAGTGGTGGACATTAGGGATCGAGATAGACTCTTGAAAGCAGAAGCTGCGGCTGTAGGCTACCGGGATCCTGGCACAGCAAAGCCTCTGTCAGTGTTTGAGGCAATGAAGAAGGGTCTAATTGATAGGAAGACTGGGCTTCGTCTCCTGCAGGCCCAGGAGTCTGCCGGAGGCATTCTAGATCCTAATCTCAGTGTGTTCCTTCCTAAAGACACAGCTATCAAGCGTAACCTTTTGGATGAGGACCTCTATCAGGCTCTAAACCAGAGTCCTTCGTGCTACATTGACCCAGACACCGAGCGCGAGGCCAGCTATGGGTCTTTAAAGAAGAGAAGCAAAACAGAGTCTCACACAGGCCTGATACTTCTGCCAATAACTGAGAGGAAAGACCCTTCCAAACTGACTTTTGATGGTGTCCGTAAGACAGTTACAGCGCAGCAGTTGCTTGATTGTGGGGTCTTGGACAAACCAACATTTGACCAACTAATAAAGGGAGAAAAAACTGTCCCAGAGGTGTCTTTGGATAAGAAGGTGTTTTTAAAGGGGACCGGATCAATTGCTGGGGTAGCAGCTGGACCTATGGGGAAAATGTCTCTATCGGAGGCTAAGAAACAAATGCTCATGCCCTCAGAGAGTGCAGATTTGCTCCTGGATGCACAGGCTGCCACGGGTCACATCATGGACCCTTCAACCAATCAGAAGTTGACAGTAGAGGAAGCATGTGCTCAAAGAGTGGTGGACATTAGGGATCGAGATAGACTCTTGAAAGCAGAAGCTGCGGCTGTAGGCTACCGGGATCCTGGCACAGCAAAGCCTCTGTCAGTGTTTGAGGCAATGAAGAAGGGTCTAATTGATAGGAAGACTGGGCTTCGTCTCCTGCAGGCCCAGGAGTCTGCCGGAGGCATTCTAGATCCTAATCTCAGTGTGTTCCTTCCTAAAGACACAGCTATCAAGCGTAACCTTTTGGATGAGGACCTCTATCAGGCTCTAAACCAGAGTCCTTCGTGCTACATTGACCCAGACACCGAGCGCGAGGCCAGCTATGGGTCTTTAAAGAAGAGAAGCAAAACAGAGTCTCACACAGGCCTGATACTTCTGCCAATAACTGAGAGGAAAGACCCTTCCAAACTGATGTTTGATGGAATCCGCAAGCCAGTCTCAGCACAGCAGTTGTTTGAATGTGGAGTCCTTGACAAACCAACATTTAATCAGCTTGTGAGAGGGGAGAAATCTGTCCTAGATGTGTCTATTGAAAAGATGGTCTATCTAAAGGGTACTGGACCCATTGCTGGGGTGGTAGCTGAATGTGAAAGAAAAATGTCTTTCTTAGATGCCAAGAAACAAATGCTCCTCCCACCAGAAAGTGCAGATTTGCTGCTAGAAGCTCAGGCTGCCACAGGCTATATAATTGACCTGAAAACTAATCAGAAGCTGACAGTAGAAGAGGCATGCGCCAAAGGGGTGGTTGACATTCAAAATCGAGACAGATTATTGGTAGCAGAGGCTGCTGCTGTTGGCTTTAAGGAACCTAGGTCAAACAAGCTTCTCTCAGTGTTTGAGGCTATGAAGAAGGGTCTCATTGACAAAAAAATCGGGCTTCGCCTGCTGCAGGCCCAGGAATCGGCGGGAGGTATTATAGATCCCAATCTCAGTGTGTTCCTCCCCAAAGATACAGCTATCAAGCGCAACCTCTTAGATGAAAACCTCCGTCAAACTCTAAACCAGAGTCCGGAATGTTACCGTGATCCAGAAACTGAACAAAATACCAGCTATGGGTCTTTGAAGGAAAAATGCATGATAGAGCCTCAAGAAAGCCTACAACTTTTGCCAGTCTCTAACAAATGTGACCCCTCCAAACTTCTCTTTGATGGTGTTCGTAAGTCCGTCACAGCACAACAGTTGCTTGATTGTGGAATCCTGGACAAATCAACATTTAATCAACTAATAAAGGGGGAGAAAAGTGTTGCAGAGGTGTCTGTGGATAAAATGGTATTTCTGAAGGGGACAGGGTCAATTGCCGGTGTTGCAGCTGGACCTTTAAGAAAAATGTCTTTTACAGAAGCCAAGAAACAGAACATTATGTCATCCAACAGCGCCGGCATGCTTCTGGATGCTCAGGCAGCCACTGGAAAAATAATTGATCCCCAAACTAATCAAAAACTGACAGTGAAAGAAGCATGTGCTAGAGGAGTAGTGGATAAGGAGGATGAATCAAAGTTGTTTGCAGCTGAAGCTGCTGCTATAGGTTACAAAGACCCAAATAGTGGCAAGCTCCTGTCAGCAGGCCAGGCCATGAAGAAGGGATTAATTGACAAGGACACAGCTCTACGTATACTTCAGGCTCAAGAGTCTGTAGGGGGTATTTTGGACCCTGCCCTCAGCGTATTCTTTCCCAAAGATATTGCTAAGGATAGGGATCTCATAGATGACGACCTATATCAGGCCCTGAATAAGTCTCCTAAGTGTTATCTGGACCCAGACTCCCAACAAGCAACTACATATGTATCTCTGAAGAGAAAATGCAAAGCTGATCCAAGCACAGGTCTCTTGCTCCTCCCTGAGCCTAAGAAGCCAATAACTGTCCCGGGGCTCAGAGGCAAGGTGTCGGTCATAGATCTAGTGGATGCAAACCTATTAAATCAGTCGGATGTGGAAAAACTGGGGGATGGCAGATTGACGTGCAAGGACATTGAAGACCGCCTGCGCTCCTACCTGAAAGGTTCCACATGCATAGCAGGAGTTTATGATGAGGCCACGGATAAGGTGATGCCGGTCTATCACGCAATGAAAGCTGGACTGTTGCAACCTGGGACCACCTTGGAACTGCTTGAGGCCCAGGCAGCCTCCGGTTTTATAGTTGATCCTGTCAACAATCACTACTTTACTGTTACTGATGCCTACAATAAAAAACTGTTTGGGCCAGAGTTTAAAGACAACTTGCTATCAGCAGAGAGGGCTGTGACTGGTTACAAACTGCCGGGTACAGACAAGATTATCTCCCTTGTTCAGGCCATAGAGAGAGGTCTAGTGGAGAAAGGTCATGGCATCCGTCTACTAGACGCCCAGATTGCCAGCGGTGGTATCATTGATCCTGAACGCAGCCATCGTGTTGACGTTAAAGTAGCCTACAAGAGAGGTTGCTTTACTGAAGAAATGAACAAGACCCTGACTGATCAGAGTGGTGAGACTATGGGCTACTTTGATCCTAACACAGAAGAAAACATAACCTATCTGGAGCTTAAGAAACGCTGTATCACAGATAAGAAGACAGGCCTCATCCTTTTGCCTATAATGGACAAGGAAAAGCTAGAGTCAACTCTGAGTAACCGCACACGAAAGAGGAGAGTGGTTATTGTGGACCCAGAGACTAATAAAGAGATGACAGTACGTGAAGCATATGACAAAGGTTATATTGACCATGACACGTTCCTGGAGCTGTCCGATCAGGAGTGTGAGTGGGAAGAGATAACTACCACTGCTCCAGATGGTTCTATAGAGTTGGTTATCATCATGGACAAGAGGTCTGGAAGAAAGTATGATGTAACTGAGCTGATTGAAAAGCAAATTATTAGTCAGTCCCATTTAGATGATTACAGATCGCGTAAAATCACTCTGACCCAATTTGCAGACATCGTCACCAACAAGACCAAACGTGGATCATCATCATCATCATCATCATCATCATCAACATCAACATCATCATCATTTAAATCAGTTGCCCCAGTTACATGTTCAACTACATCATCTTCAACTTTAAAAACATCAGCAGTCTCGGTTCCATTGTCAGGGAAATTATCTTCTTCACCATCAGTCCCCCCAAGACCCTTATCACCTACCCTCGCCAAGATGACCACAACAAGAACTACCACATTCACAGAGCGAAGCGCTTCAACCAGTAGTACAGCTCGTGACTCATCTGACTCTCTAAGGGGTATATCCAGTGTTTCTGTCACCCTAGCCTCTGTTGCTGAATCAGTGGGGGAACAGGAACCTGTGGGTGCCATATTTCACACAGATACATTAGAGAAAATATCCATCACAGAGGCTCTAAATCGTGGTCTGGTAGATTCCATCACTGCCCAGAGACTGCTGGAGGCTCAGGCCTGCACTGGAGGAATAATTGATCCCACAAATGGCCGTAGGCTAAGCATCCAAGAGGCTACCCGGCAGGGCATAATAAATGACGACATGGCCCATAAGCTCAAGCCTGCCCAAAAAGCCTACTTTGGCTTTGAGGATGTAAAGACCAAGAAGAAGATGTCTGCTGCTCAGGCCATGAAGGAGATGTGGCTGCCATATGAGGCAGGGAATAGGTTCCTGGAGTTCCAGGTTGCCACAGGGGGGGTTTATGACCCAGAAATGGGCTGTCGAAGAACCATGGAAGACGCCATTAAAATGGGCTGGCTGACTGTAAGAGCAGCTCAGAATCTCCAAGACCTCAGAAACCACACAAAGAACATGAACTGCCCAAAGACCAAACTTAAGATCTCTTACAAGGAGGCTCTGGATAATTGTCTGGTGGAGGAAAGCAATGGGATGAAAATGCTCCAGGCATCATCTGAGTCTTCCAGAGGAATCAGCAGTCCCTACAATGCCTCCTCTGCCCCAGGATCCGCTGCTGGCTCCAGGAGTGGTTCACGATGCGGCTCCCGCCGGAGCAGTGTCGACCTAGGCTCCCCCCTCTCCTCATCGAACACCTTCTCAACTTCTTACCAGAGTCGTACAACCTCCAATACACTCTCCCCAAGATCTACTTATTAAAGTAAAGATCAGGCGCAATAATTCTCATGCCAATTAGTCAGTTTGTTAAAACTATACTGATTTAAAAAAAATAATTGTGTTTTGTATACGAGGAGAACAATTCTAACTATTTTCCTTGAAAGGTTCGTTTTGTTCTTTGCATTGTTTTAGTTTTAGCTCTGTTGTTGCTATGCTTTTAAAATGCTTGTTTACAAGTTATTGTTAAAATGAACATTGTCAAGACATTTTTTGTAGAAATTGACTCGAGTATTATTGGGCCTCTGAAGGTATTTGGATTTGTTTTAAGTTAATACAATTGACAGGCACTATTGCCCCTAAAATAGGCTTAGAAATTATCGCCATATTCTTGCATACACATATTACAGATATGTTTTTTTAATCGTTGTAGAATACTCATTTCTTTTTAATTGGTAAAACAATAATGTTCTGTATACATTCATTTTTGAAATACCTATTTTGTGAAGGCAGGGATGCAAGGTTTGGTTACATATATTGGCTTAAGTATTTTTTTCACTTAATCAGTTGTCAGCCATTGGTGTTTTGTTCCTTGGTGCTTTGGTTTTATAACAGTTTCCCAATATCTCAAAAATAAAAGCTAACATTTGTCTTTTGCTCATATGGATTCATGTCTGTTCTTATTCATGGTCTGTTTTCATACAACACTTTTTATTTAAAAGAATCAGGTTTATTACCCAGATGGTTTTTCTCATGCAAGAAATTTGCTTCGATGTTTTGGAGCAAGAGAAATTTAAGATGAAAGTACTGAACATTCCAGAAACAAATATTAAAGGTAGAATACAAAAATTATACAATATAGAAAAAAGTGTTAATGATTATTAAGTTAAAGATGCAACTGAAACTAAATAATGCTTGACCGAAATGTCTGTGCTATATGTTTTAAATTTCTGATTGGGCCAAATTGGATACATTCAATTCAAATTCCATAACTTTTTTTAGGTTGTTACCATTATCAATCTTTAGCTTGTCTCAAACTAAATATGGTAGTGACTGAGTGACATGCATGTAGTCTTCCTGTGTGTCCAATAAGTGCATTGTTTACATCCGTAGGGTTTCCCGATTTAATTATAATTTTAAGGAGACATAGCAGAGAGAACAAATAGTTTAAATCACCTCTTAGATAAGCACTCTTTTATTTGAGTTGCTAAACATGTTATACAAGGTCTGTTCGTATTATCATGAGTCCAGAAGTTAAGTACAACAAATCCATTAGGTTCAATTATACCCTTTTTTTTAATAAACATAGTACATACACTGTAGTAAAAACGTATTATTACCTGTACCTGTTAAGATTGTTTTACCTTCCCTTCTCTAAATAGTATTTTAACAAACATTTTTTGAAGGTTTTCACAATTAAATCAATAAAAGTGCATTTTTAATCAAATTTCAAAGTTAAATTTATACAATTCATCAAAATCGTAATGCAATCTTTCTTTGTAAAATGCATAATATTGATCATATTGATTCCAGAGTAGATGATTGTTGAACTTGAACATACATTAAACCAATCAGTATCATATCATTTTAGTTGATAACTCAATATACTTTATTTTTTACAAAACATCCAGTGTTTCGGTAGTGACCACAGTATTTTGTTCTCAAGGTTGTATCATATTCCCTCAACCTTATGGCTTAATCTTAACTCATAACATGCCTTATGTTGGGAATATTACAAACACAAATGTTTTGGGGTCAATATAATCATTTTCTTTTTGAAGACATAACAATTGTTCATCCATAACCATTTACAGTACAAACATTGCTTATCAATAGAAAAATAATTACCCAAAGTGGGTTCAATAGAAGAGAACATTGACTTATAATTGATATTATGCTGTTGCTGTCAGGCTTCTGAACGCTAACCAATGTGTCCCTGAAAGGTAAATACACAAGAAAGTGATATGCAGTTGAATCTGAATGAATGAACTGATTATGATCATTTGAAGCTTCTGACACAGAATCAGCACTTTAGTAACAGCTGAAATAGAGGGGAATGAGGCTAGAATGGGTGATCTGGTTGGTATTTTTATCAAAACACTTCAGAGACATGTTTTTTATATATCTGAGACCTATAATATAACTATACCTAAAAGTATAATAAGAGACCTTTAAAGTAACACACTGATTTTCAAACTTTAAAACACATTTATTTCAAAACGATGGGATTTACCTCCATTTTGTCACTACCGAAATGATCATGTAAATTACCGAAACTTAACCATATGTTTCGGTAGTGACTGTTTCGGTAGTGACGATTCTAGCTAAGTTTGGGCATAACTAAAGAATGCTAGCAAGTACATTGCTAGAATACACGTCTTTGCAATTTGCCTACCAGCCTCAACTGGGGGTGGACAATACTATTATGTACCTGCTGCAGCGTGCTCACTCATACCTGGATGGATCGGGTTGCACTGTGAGAATCACCTTTTTTGATTTCAACACGATCCAGCCTCGGCTACTGAGTGACAAGCTGCAGGCTATGACTCGTCCACCATCTCCTGGATTACCAACTACATCACAGACAGACCACAGTACGTCCGGCTGGGCAGTGTGCTGTCTGATGTGGTGGTTGGTAGCCTACAGGAGCCCCTCAGGGGACTGTGCTGTCTCCTTTCCTGTTCACCTTATACACCACTGACTTTCAATACAACTCTGAGTCATGCCATCTGCAGAAGTTTTCGGATGACTCTGCAGTGGTAGGGTGTATAAGGGATGGACGGGAGGAGGAGTACAGAGCGCTGGTGGGTGATTTTGTGGAGTGGACTCGAATAAATAATCTGCTTCTGAATGTGGCCAAGACCAGAGAGATGGTCATTGATTTCATGAGGAAGAGGACGTCTCCTCAGCCCCTACCCATCCTCTCCACCTGCAGCTGGACAGTCAACGGAGCTCCTTCTCCAACAGACTGCTGCAGCTCCGCTGTCACAAGGACAGATACTGGAAAACATTCCTGCCCATTGCAATAACACTGTACAACAAATCACCTCTGGCTGGAGGAAAACTCTCTGCTGCATAGCTTCTCTTGGACTTAAAATCACACTGTACATTTTACATGAATATATTCACTTTACATTTTAATATTCCATCTGTCACATACTTATGTATATATAATACCTTGCTTTATATCTTGTTATTGTTAATTTGCAAATTATATTTTCTACTTTCTTGTTTATTTCTTGTCTTTTAATTTGTATTGTACAATGCCAAGTCTTTTTATGCTGCTGCAACACAAACATTTCCCAAATTGGGATCAATAAAGTACTATCTTATCTTATCTTATCTTGAAGAGTTTTACACACATAAAAACACAATACAGATTTTGGAACAGATTTATATCAAAAGTATGAGATATAGCTACTTACCATTCAGCCATGAGGGACTAAAACTCCTTGTGTTTCGGTAATGACATGAAAACTGGGGACATGATTTTCTGAGTATAGTTTTTATTTATTTGTATTAAACCCACAATAAATCTAAATATTCCAACTTCTGTTTGAATGTAATCATAAAGATCTTCTAAATACACCATTGAACAAAATACAAAAAAAGTGTTATTTACAGAAATGTAAATTTAGATGTCAGGGTTTGGGACAGCTTCTTCCCAATAGAAAGTACCCTATAAATGATGTTTTTGTATATATTGAACGTATCACTATATAATCAATGTAATGCCCCTTACAACATATTCTTAGTAAATATCTATGTCTGAATACTTAATAGTTTTGTTAAATAGTTTTTCTTGTTCGCACTTTGTACTAATTCGGTAGAATGCCCCATATATAACTGTAAAGACACGTTTTTTTATGTAGATATGTCCCGAGAAAGGGTCGCATTACCGTGTTTTCCACATGGTAAGGGCAGCGCCATATAGAGAGATCTATGTATAGATTCTATCTATATGGCGCTGGGTAAGGGTAACTCTGGTTTGCGAAACTCTCGCGGGATCCTTAAAGGCCATCAGTCGTAGGGAAAGTGAGCGTGAGTCTCGCGTTTTATTTCGACAGTGCCAACCGGAAGTGTCCTGATAATAACAACTCTGGTTAGCATGTAGCTAGCAGTCCTAAATGTGACTTGTGGACATGAAGCATTTGTCTGCAGTGCCTCGACAACGTCCACCTACATGTCTAATAACATATGTATCTTGTCGATAATGTTACAGATACAAACGTGTCGTACTTGTATCTGTAGCTAGCGTTAATGTTAGCTCGTTACCTGAAGCTATGAAGTTAGCTTACTAGCGTAAAGCTAACCTTTATAGTCGTCTGAACACACCTGTGCAAGGTAGGAGTACTTATTTTATCTGACAAACATGTATCACTCGGTTGTAAAATGCTAAATTGTTGTGATGTACTAAATTAAGTTTGGCACATTTATTTCGCTTGTCACTAAGTGACAACGATTAATACAACGAATTAAATAATCAATAGAAAAAGCAGTACACATTCATATATTATTTAAAGCTGGAACCATGTGTCTTCATTGCATGCTTGCGTGTATTAAGTTACTAGATATGTACTAAAGCTGACGAATGAATGTAGTTCAGTAAAAAGTAAATTTCTCTTTGATTTGGATTTCCCCCTGTAGTTGTAGTCGGGTATTTCCAGATTCAAGGCGTTATTGTCATTTGTACATTAGCTACAGTGTAGATATGTCAATGAAAAACGTAGGTCTTGGCTCCTCCAACAGTGCAACATATATATATATATATATATATATATATATATATATATATATATATATATATATATATGACATTGAACAAATAAAACAGATAGTGCAAGTAAATACAAATAAAATAGTAATAGAAGAGTCTATATACAAGTAAATATAATATTTGGGTAACAAGTTTAAACTAAAAGTACTTCACATTGGTGCTTAAGTACAGTATGTACGTATATATATATACTTAGTTTCACTCCACCACAACACACAACATTTGGTCGACTCTTTCATTTTTTCCCCTTTAATATGCCACAGAAAATGTCATGTAAAAGTGCACGCTAAAGGTTTTTGGAAATGTTGTGTAGGTGTCATTTACCAGGTAAAAGAATGGCTGATGACCCTCAGAGAAATTTCCGCTCCGCATATTATGAGAAAGTGGGCTTCAGAGGAGTGGAGGAGAAGAAATCTCTGGAAATACTGCTCAAGGACAATCCCCTCGGTAGGTAACAGTTCTATATCACCAATATTAGTCTTTAAACATTGCTTCCACGCTCCCTGAAATTGGTGCATTCAGAAGAGTGCTGATCTCGGTCTGAAAAACTCTTCCATCACTGTCCTCGAACCACTCCAAACAATGTTTTAACCGTCACCAAGTGAATGTCCCAAAAATGTTGTTTCTGTTGTTCGATTCAGGTATAGTTGTTTGTGGCATGATAAAAATACCAACAAAATGTCGAGGAAATAAATTATTATATCTATTTAGATAGCCCCATATAAACAAATTCACACTTGGATTAATTTTAAAATAATCCATATTATTTCTGATGAAACTGCTATTTTGTATCATTTATATTTAGTTAATATAAAGCACTTTGTCCTATATAGGCGTACAGTTGCAACCCGCCCCTCTCAGTTTCAGCGGAGGCATGTGGAAGATGTTGAAGGAGCGAGTCTGCTATGTTCGGCTTCTTGCAATGAGAAATAAGCATTCAATGATGGTTTTGATATTTCATTTTTTTCTTTAACTTGTAACTAACCAAGACAACGAGAGTTCCAAACAGATATAAATAAGCAGAACAAAATATAAGCCTGATTCGTTCAGTACAGACCCGGAAGACTTAAATCCATGGGTTGGAATTTTATTAGTGAGGGCCTTGGCCCAGGTAAAAATATTAGGTTAATTACAAACATGTCTGCCTATCTTTAACAACATAAGTGTATCTTGAATTTCGCTCCCCTGAAAAAACACAGTTAAAGACACATATTTACATTTTAGAAATGCAAATGCAATTTTCAGGCGCATTGCCAATATGTTGACCCAGTTTCGGCCCATCAGAGCAATATAGTATAATATGAATTGTGATGAAAACAATTATTCACGTTCTGCCTTATCTGCTGTTGCCTGTGTTGCTCAGGGCTGACCACCAGACTCACACACACAGTTAGCTCAAAGACCTGCGTTATGTCACAACTATCTCACATTCGCATACATAACGTTTATTTTCTTCCCATCAGCTTACTTTAAAAAATATGTTCAGGCCTACACGTTCTTTAAATATACATCCATGGCATGCACATTGACAATATTAACGCTGATTTCTCCCGGGGGAGCCAAACTCCTAGATCGGCGTGCCATGACGCCAGGTCTCGTTCAGTAGTATGTACGAGAGTTGAACCAGATGAATTGCACTGACACATATTGTTATTTCCACCCACTGCCTTAACATTTCTCATTAGTTTGTGGTTAGGTTCTAGGGGCAGTAAGTCAGTCCTTGTCTTTTTACCATTGTTTTTTTTCTTCTAACAGATCTAGAAAAGCTGAGCACCTTCAGTCAGAGGTTCCCCCTCCCCTCTATGTACAGGATCCATGTGTGGAAGGTGTTGCTAGGTAAGACAAACGCATATCACAGTAATGACACGCACTACCAAATGTGCTCGCACAACCTATAATGCCAAACCTTTTTCCTGCAGGCATCTTACCCCCCCACAGTGACTCTCACTCTCTGGTGGGAGGCTACAGGAAGGAGCAGTACCAGGACATCCTGGAGGCTCTGGAGGTGATGAGATACATCAACCCTTCGACTCCCTCCACCCACGTCTACCTGCGCATGTCCCAGCTAGAGACCCTGGTGCTCCCACGGTGCTCCGAGACCTCCGCCCCGGTAAGATGGAGCGCACATAGAGAAACATGTTCATATATGGGACTAATAAGGCACCAAAATGAGAAGAAAGTATGAATGTCGTACTGATGCATCACAAATAGGAGGTTGTAGGATGAGACATGTAACGGAACCGAAGTTTCAAACAGAATTATGAATGTGACTTTTCTTAATTTTTTCTAAGCATGGGTCCATTAAAACATGGGTACCTTAAAAAAAGCTTTACATTTATATATATATATATATATATATATATATATATACAGTTTTTTTTACAATCGTCTAAACTTGGGTGTTGATGCGTGTCCTGTGGCTGCCATCTCTTAAAATGTGTGTTAATAACGACGGGGTGTGTTGCTTTCTCCTCTCAGGATGAAGAGAACGAGGACTTCCTCTCCATCAGTCGAGCCATGGAGGAGATCGTAGACGATCCTATCGACTGTTACTGGCTCATCAAGTGTTTCATACATCAGTTCAACACGAAGTTTGGAGACTCTGTACCCCACCTTGTGAGTGTTGCGTTTAGCTTGAAGCATAAAGTAAAACTTTTTTTGTTTCAAAATGAATTGAATAGCCAAAAAAAATGAAAAATAGTTTGCTTCCCTCAGTGATTATATTATTCACTGCTACCAAACTGTAATGTGACAAGGGTTGTAATAAGGGCTACACAATTAATCAACATGTTATCAAAATATCAATATGGGCTAGTACAATTTCCAAATCTACAGAAATCTCCTTGTTTGCTACAGACCCTCTTAAAATGTGATTGTTTTAATATATTTTTCAAACTGTATCATTCCCTCGGTTATCATAAATCTAATCGCGATTGCAATATCTGTCAAAAATAATCGCAATAAGTACATTTTTCAAATTGCTACCCTAGTTGTAATGTAATTGTTTACAAAATTCATGTCTCTTGTATATTTTTAAAGCAAAATTAGTGGAAGTCTTTGGTATGTTCAGTTGAGGAAATGTTCTTAATGTATAAGATAATTAATTTTTATATATCCCTTGTCAAGTTGTGAACATGACACTCATAAGAGGTATCCTGGTAATTATTTACTTAAAGGTCCCATGTCATGGCCATTTCTACTGATCATAATTCCATTGTTGAGGTCTACTAGAATTAGATTTACATTATTCAAACTCACATTGGTTTCTCATACAGCATCTCTGTATAGTATGTTTATTCACTCTCTGTCCTAAACGGCTTGTTGTCTCCCCTGTTGCGGTGCAGCCGAAGAGCCTGGAGCACTATCTGAGTCAGGAGGAGCCTCGGCTGCTGACCCACCTGAAGACCAGCGGGACCCTCGCCCAGCTGCCCTACGGCCTCTGGTTCAGACGCTGCTTCGCCGGCTGCCTGCCCGAGTCCAGCCTGCAGAGGTGCGTTCACTGTCCACAGCGCACGCCTGACATCTGCACACTTTCCCCAGGCCAACACACAAGCTTTTCTATCCTCAGCAGTCTGATATGTGCAAAACCTGTATTATATTATTCAGGCTTTTCTGAAAGATCTTTGAACCACATTTCAAGTGGTGAACGTATTCCGATCTTTTAAGTAAAAGATGCAATGCTATGGTTAAAAAATATTCTGGTAAAGGTTAACGACTAAATATACTTAAAAAGGTGCAAATGTGTATGTTATGTATTGATTATAATTATAAATCCAATATTTATATATTTAAGTTGATCACTTCGATGTAACAGCTGGTAAAGGTGGACCTGTTTTCAACAAATGTATGGGTATTTGTTGGACCTATAATAATCATATACACTTAATATATTTTATATTCTGCATTAATAATCAGAACATTTAATGAACCTTAAGCCTGTGAAAACCATATTTTCAAAATGAGACATTCTACATGTTTTCTATTGATGGAAGTACTTCATAATTAAAACTCCTGCATTCAAATTCCTAATCAAGTAAAACAAGCCTCAACATATACTTAAGGTACCTAATGTAAGTACTGTATGTATTATGCAGAATTTATAATACATTCAAATACTTAATGATATTCGGTTATAATTATTGCCGCATTGTTTGGTACTTTATAGTTGCATTGTTATAAATTAAGCTATAATAACCCTTAAAAATAAATAGCGCAGTGAGAAATACAATATGTCACTTTGAATACAAAGAAAAAGTACCTCAAAAATTGTACTTAAAGGTAGGGTAGGTAAGAATGGAGAAACCAGCTCGAGTGCGCTAGAATTTGAAAGTACACAACCGGAACAAATCTGCCACTTCCTTCAGACTTCCTTACAGAGCCCCTCCTCCAACACACACGAACGCGCACATGACCAATGAGGGCACGAGATAAGTTTGTGCACAGATGGAAGTCTGACAGGCAGGTAGGCCATCCAGTTATTTTAGCCGGGCCGGCTAAAATAATTGGTAGTGCTTGTTACAGCGCCACGGCTTCCACAGATGACATTTTTTTTTGTATTTATTGTCAAAGCATTTAATGTCAAAGCATTTAATGAATTCATTGCTATCGGGATGTTAAGAGCATTCCATGGAATATAACAAAGTGTTTCTGAAGTGAATTACCTACCCTACCTTTAAGAGTAAAAATGCTTAGCGTCCTCTACACATTTCTGCCTAATTTGGTGCCTGTTTTACAAAGATGTCAGATTAAATGACAGATTTTGCCCAACTCACATTTTTCTCTCTATTTATTAAGCCCGTTTGCTATTTCCACATGAGTAGACTTTTGTTACATCTTGACCTTAAATCTACTTGTTGAATGACCCTCTGATGATTGTCAGGGTGTGGGACAAGGTGATCAGCGGCTCGTGTAAGATTCTGGTGTTCGTGGCCCTGGAGATTCTGCTCAGCTACAAAATCATGCTGATGGGAATCAGCCGGCCTGAAGGCGTGGTGAGGTTCCTGTGCAATGTGAGTGAACCACAGCCAACCCCAAACAGAAAGCACTGTCCTCTTTTAGGTGAAAAACCTCACCATGTGTTTTCTCTTCCAGATCCCGCAGGAGAACACGGACGCCATCGTGACTAAAGCCATCGACTTGTGGCACAAATACTGTGGCACCCCGATGCACGCTGTATAGCTGTGTGTTTCTGACATGTTTATTGAACATGTCAGAAACAAAACGTACAACAATAATAATATATATATCCTTTCTTTTTTTTTTCTCACTCATAACAAAGTACAAAAACATGAATAAAAAAAGATAATTCTCAAATAGTCTCTGTCATGTTCAACAGGGGCAAGAAGCTACAAAAAAACTTTTCTGGTCCTACCCCCTCTAGCATACATTTTCCCTATAAATAAAATATTAGGTCATCGTCATCAGCGACATGTTTGTCTTGTTTGTTTGCAATCAGAAAGAAATTATTTTTACAATTACAAGAAATAGCAAATGGGATTTTACAGGTCCTGTTCATAACCATTCATGATTTGGCTCCTAAATAATACTTTCACTTTAGATAGACTTGGACAATATTTCAGTGCATCATTACAGTTATTCCACAGACTAACACCTTTTGATGAGATGCAATGCAGTTTGGCATTTGTTCGTACGGGTGGTTTTTTGAAAATGCAGTTTCCTCTCAACATGTGCTTGCTTTCTCTCCGTGTGAAAAGATAAGGTGCTGTCCCAGGACAGAGCACAAACTCTTAACTCCACTGAGACTACGGATTTGTCTCCGTATGACTGAACAGAAAACTCATCATGGGCTGCTTTTAATAAGCCCCAGGACTTGGGAGCCAATCCAATTACAGACAGGACAACACATCCCAGCTCTCCCCAAAGAATGATCGACTGTTTGTGGAAAGGACACTGAAAACAGCTGCTATACAGAGAGGATGCACAAAATCTGAAAAAAGGCAAGGATTCATAAACTTATTTTCTTTAATAAGTTTCTTTCTTAAAGAAACAGCTTACATCATAGAAGACAATAAATTAATACCCACATGCAGTTGTTCTGCTTTACAAAAAAACATTTGAAAAGTCTTGTTTACTTTCTTTGCTATTTACAAGTTTTAGAATTCTGAGAACAGTTTTAAACGTACAAGAGACAGTAATATTACCGACGCTCGTACTGACACACTCACAGATCAAGTCCTCCCGATAATAAGGTCAAAACGGGCAATTATCTAATGTGGACCTAAACCATAAAAAGTAAGCTGGCAGGTTTTCATTTTCTGTGCCACCAAAGATTTGACTGACAATAAAAAAAGAAAGTCTGTTTTTTTGAAGTTCTGCAACTTTTCACTGTGTCGACAGATACACAGTAAAATAAAACGAAACAAGTTAATTTGGCAACTTTCAAATCCCTGTAAACAATACTGTAGGCACAGTGACACGGTGAGTTACTGAACTCTCAACAGCAGTCATTCTGGGATGCATTCAAGATCGCAACTTCAACAGGAAGTCAAGTTGCTTTGGCTTCAAGTGGGGATCAAAAGTGTGAAAACGTTTTGAGCTCTAGAATGCAGTCCATTAACACAAAAAACGATCAGGCTGTGAAGTTATTGCTCAGTTAATGTGTTTTACGTTAGTACATTTTTTCTGTTACTGTCTTGAAAAGAGAATGATGTTATATTTTAGGTCATTTTGGCTTAAGATGCAGCTGCCTACAGGTTTGAATTCCTCTGGCAAAATGTGAAACGATCATTGAGATGTCTTCTGTGGAATAATACCGTGCCAACACAAACCCAAAGGATATAAAGTCCATTTAAGGAGTGACATTATGGTGAAAGGCAAGAAAACAATCCATGTGTAAAAAATAAAAAGAAAGTCCTTTCTTCAGCTCCTTGGCACAGATTCTGTGTTTCATTTCAAGCGCCCTGTTCAGAAACAAAAGTGCTGCAAAGTAAACAAGTTGCGGCTTCATCTTAAAATAAACGAAACCCTTTTGAATATCAAGAAGTGTGTAAAATCTCCACTGATGAGAGACTCCAGGTGAGAGTTTGATCCATTTGTACTTGAGGTGTTTCCTGTGACGGCCGCAGCACACGCTGCGTTCAGGTACAGTCCGTCAGTGTGAGGGCAGCAGGTGGCAGTCTGGACACTTGAGGCTTGGTGTGTGAGTATAAAAGCACAAGACTGATCCATCTTACGGCCGATGAAACCTGCAGAGAAACCACAGAGAAAATGAGGAACTTCATAGAAATGCTGTGGTTTTTCACCATACCACTAATCATGATAGACTTGTTAAATAGTATGCATTTCAAAAACATTTCAAAACCAACAGTTTAGTTTTTTGAAAAGTAAAACAAATGTCATTGTATAGTATGTCTGTAAACGTTTAGAAAAGTCATAGTGGAGTATATTGAAAAATCAGAAAAACTGAACTGTTGAAAACTATGAAAACAGGCACATTAAAGTATGTCAAAAATGTCATGAATTTGAGAAGCATTTAAAAGGTCATAGTATGGTATGTCGAGAAACTTGAAGAAAAAAAATCATGGTATTGTATGTGGAAAAATATACAAAAGTAATAGTATAGTATGTCAAAAAGGTATGAATAGTAGTAATAGTAATTTTTAAGCATAAATATGCATAAACACTAAACTGTTACCTGGTCAGATGACGGCTGGACTCGTGCACCTCCATCTCTGTGCTCTTAAACTCATTCAGCTCCTTCCTGATGGCAGCCTGAACAACACACAGGGAAACACTTATTTACCCACAGTATAAACTGTATGCACAGACATCTTGAATCCAGAGTAAAGGATCAGCTGGTTTTGATTGACATGTTTGTTAGTTTCACCTTATCAGCAGCAGTGAGCCGGGTCCACGGCTTGTCGGCTCGGCGGTCGTAGTCCTGAGCCTCGGCGACCTCCACATAGTCACTGAAGCGGATCAAGATCTTCGCCTCCCTCAGCTCCTCCACTGTGGGCCTCTGGCTGAGCTGCAGGGTGCAAAAAGAAAGAGGAGGGGGGTTGTCAATATCTGGATGCCCTGCCACATGTTGAAGAATATCTGTGTGCAATAATGTGCCAGGTTTGTGACTGAAAACTAACTGGTTCATTTAACTAGGCCGATTTAAAATAAAGAAAGGGAAAAGCTTTGTTTTTGTATGTTCAAAAATAATTATAGTTTCTAATAAATAAAATGTAAGTATGAAGTGAATCTATTTTCTTTCTTTGTATAAGTAAAGTTAAATATTAAATGAAATAGTACAAAGCAGCACTCAGATGTTGCACACTTCTTTCATCTTCTTTCTTTTATGACAATATCTGTTAAGTAGTTTTAAAGATATCTTCTTGGACAAAAACACTACAGCCTTGGAAGAAAATAAACCAAATAATAAAAAAAACACTATTTATTGAAATCATTTTTGAGACACAAAGTGCTGAAAAACATTTGTATAACATAAAATCTATGGATAAGTGGATAAGTGGCTTTATCTATCAATACATATCATTTGTGAAATGGTCACACTCTCACACACAATAACAGGGTGATGCAACAGATATGATCCTTTCAAAATGGGCATCTGAAGGGTGGTCACCACGGCAACCATGTTTATATTTCTAGCTGGGGTCATAAACACTCCCATCATGTACACTGAGGTGTCCATCTCCACCTCTGTCTTACCTTTTTGGACAGATGTCTCTTGATCTCCCTCTTCTCCTCCTGTTCCTCGATATCGTTTCGAGCTGGAAGGAAGGAGAAAGAGAGGGTCATCACACACTGGGATTATTATTATTACTAGTTTCTCTTACAGTGTGTACATGTACTTACGTTTGAGGATATTCCTCTGCTCAAGTTCCTCTGCTGACGGCCGTTGACTTAATCGTCTGAAAAAATAAAAGGCGTGTCGATGTCAGGAGTGTTTGTGCTTCCAGATCATCGTCACTGTGCGAGATGTATGCAGTATCTTATACAGGCAGAGGAGCCGACTGCATGGGATGTCATTTTTGATGAGGTAGTATTTTGTGGATTTACAAGCCGTCTATATCTATCTCTAAGGTGGAGCAGCGATTCAGACAGTGGGTAGGATGATTGATAGAGTGAGAGGAAAAGAGAAGTAAAGGTATGCTGTATGTGCAGACTTGCTGCTTTAGTGTGCTCTAAAATGTAAAATAATAAAATATAAACATTTATTTTACCCAAAGAAGCAAATTATGCTCTTGTAAAATGTAATGTGAATTTATTTGACTGTAAACTTGTTTGAAAACAATTTAATATCTGTCTAAATGTAAAAAAACAAACAAACAACTTTAAGATAATCAATAAAGTTGAACATCTTAATGGCATAATGAAAAATGGTAGTTTTGAGCAGGTGTATTTGACATGTTCCTGAATCCTTGAATAAGATGTATATTAAAGTATTTAGATATTTTTAAAAGTAAATATAGTTTTTTAATAATTTACCATTTTGAATGATTAGCGTTAATGTTATGTGGTTAGATATGGAAACATTCTTGTATCTAAACTGGCTTATTTCACAAAAAATGTACACTTTTTTCCAGCTTTCATACAACACACTATACCCCACTTTAATTTTCTTGGCATATAATTGTTTTGAAGCTGCTCCTCGGCTTTAATCTCTCCCCCCCTCCTTCTCTCCCCCCCTCCCTCCTCCCTGCATTATGACTCATCATCCATCATCTGCTCCCTTTAGCAGCCAGGTCACATCTATCACAGTGAACATGGGTTAAAGCAGTCTGCGGGGGCCCGGCCTGCGTGTGGAGTGATGTTGGTCACATGATGAAGGGAGTGTGATATCTCTTAGAACCACTGTTCTCAGTGGCTGGACAATCTCTGCATGTGTGTTCTAATCCAGCGGCTCACCTGGTCAGTTTGGTGGCCGTCTGTTGTCGAGACTCGTATCTCTGTTGGTCCGACTGCATGGGCAGGATGTTTTTGTCCTCCAGGTCCCTCAGCGTTGGACGGTTATTCAGCTTGATGGCTAAAGAGTCCTTTCGTAACACCTTCATGGCCAGTGTGCCTACAATGGAGCAACATGGATGAGATGTATCAGTACTCATATCACAAGCTCACTGTAAGGAGCCTGTATAGATTTCCTTCCAGTTCCTAACATTCTTTGGTTGGTTGTTTATCACTGTTCTTTATTTTGATTTTATTGTTTTATTTCCCCCCAAAAAAAGCAGAAACGTATCCGCCCCTTGATTAATTTAGATGCTGGATAACGATCTGATAGCTCACTCTTCTAAGTGCTTGTTTTCCCTAACATCCACAATAAGGTTACAATGAATCCAACATTGGTAATGTTAAAGGAGTCGTTTGGAAGTCACAGTCCTACGGATAACTTGAACCCTGCAGCTCAATGCGGTTGTTTAGCCTCTTTTAGCCCATTATTTGAAGTTTACAGAATTCAAACATGCCAAAACGCCACGATAGAGCTGGGTTGACGACACGCAGTGTTTCCCCTATATACAAATAGTGGCGGCGCAGCGCCGCTGCTGAAATATGCGCGCCGCTGCTAGGGGGCGCCAGCCAGGTACCCAAAAAAATAAATAATAATAATTAAAATAATAATAAGTTGCGACCCTTTTTCATTTTTGATTGTTTGTTATGTGGATTTGTAGTATTTGTGTTACTGTATGTTCAATAAAGGCGTATTTTTGCTAAATCTTGAGACATTGCCACTGTATGTACTAGGCAGGGCCGATTTTTGGCATAGGAGACATAGGCGGTCGCCTAGGGCGCCAGATCTGGGGGGCGCTGCGCTGGTAGCTCTGGGAGGGGAAAAAACATTTTTGACCGTTGGCGCTCATCCTAATTTTTGGCCTTGATGTAACAACATTCATAATTAAGTAAATGAAACACCCTTTTCACCCCGGTTACACTTTTCATTTGCCCTGTACGATGGGCAATCACGAGTGATGAAAGTGGGGGATGTTGGCTTATCAGGCGCCCGCAGCTCACAGCCAAAATGCGAGCGTGGGAGCGAGAGAGCGAGCGAGGGCGCACCGGTACCGGCGCTGTTGTTATTAGAATCTGGTGCTAGCTGCGCTAACGGATATAAGAAGTAGATGTTTCTACAACCAGGGTGGAGGAGAGCTCTCCTGTCAGACTGAGAGGCTCAGTGAGGTAACGGACTCTCTGAGTGTTTAGATAGTTTATTGTTGTCTAAGTTATCTCAGTGGGTCTCAAACGTTTTGACCACAAATTATGTAAACACATATTTCCAAGGCACTCCTTTATAATTATTAGGATAAATAAAAACAGGTTTGAAATCATTCCAATGTATACTATAGGACAGTAAACCAAAAATATTGTTTAAAGTTGGAGAGATACAAAAATATGCATAAATAAATAAATGTTAAGGTAAAATAAGATATGAATGAACAACAAAAATAAAAAAAGTTACATTTATTTGTTATTGGCTATGGTAGGTTGTTGGTTATGTTCATATACTTATTTGATTATTAAAATGTAAACCGATCTTTTTCATATGGGTGTTTTAGAGTTGTACCCCCTAGATCAGGTCTCTAGTAATTGTGTGCTCAAAGTGCACCAGATTGAAGCATTTTACTTTAAAATGTTCAAAAAAATCTTCCCGGGGGGGCAGACCCCCGGACCCCCCTAGAGGAGGTGACGTCCACCCCCCAATTCAAACAGGTTCATACAATACTGAATACATTTGAAGCCATATTGACGTATATTACCTATGTCAATAAGTTTCTGTTTTTGTAGTGTATTTGTCTTTTGTAGAGATTTTTCATTTATTCTTTATATATAAAATCTCGGCTAGGGCAGCAAATTGGCTAGAACCGGCCCTGGTACTAGGCCTCAAGAGCCTTTCTTGTGCTGGCAGACACATAGAAACAAATTGGCGGGGTGCACTTCGCACGTGCACACACTAAAAAATTCCACGCGCTCCGTGCTCACATTATGCTGGGCCCACGTGCCTTAGCACCGCTGCTGTGACTCCATCCTAGGGGAAACACTGGACACGCATACAAATAATTATCAGCCGCGGGTCTTCACTGTAATGGAACACTTCTGGAGCAATGGAGTCGAAACACAATGAAATACGGAAGAGCTGGAGCTTGATGGCAAACACTGATGTTTTTTTTTAAGTTACAGCCAGAGAATTCCCAAGACGTGTGCTGTGCCACGAGGTGACACAGCAATTGCCCAACCAATTCTGAAGATCTCTACCCCAGACCCCTGTATTCTGCTAGTTCTGAGAGAATAATCAACATTGTGCATAACAAGATAAAACAGGCAAAGCACAATAACACCTCTATCAGCTGACGCCAACAGGCAGGAACAGGGAGACAACACACAGAGCACAGCACCCAAGGTTGGTCTGTGAAGGCAGTACAAACTGATAAACTGGGTCAAATTATGGGCCTAGGAAAATATTTCCTCAACATTCAGTACAAAAAGTTCAGTTCTTGACTAGAAAAACTCTCATAAAAACTCTTTAAATAACAAAACTTGTTTTATATTTCGGCAGTATGCTTTCCTAATTTGATTGCTTTTAATAAAAAACGTTAGCAGCTAGCTGGCTAACATATGCTAATATTCAGCAACTAATAAAACTGATATTCATTTTTTTCTCAGGAGTTGGTGGAAACAAAAACAACTGTTGACAGTTTGTAGCGTTATCCATAGTAACTGTGTGTTTATCTGCTGGTTGTGGAGTTCTTCTGTGCCCTAGTGGCTAAATAAAAGCAGTTGTTCTATCTTCTATTTTCTCAAATTGTTTGACCTTTCCCCCCCACGGTGAGATTTATTTATCAACCTGTCGTAGGTTTTTGTTTAAACCTATATATTATATATTGTGTTTATATTACTTGTTTAAAATAAATGCACTAAATAAACCATATACACATTGCTTCTGTGATGCATAATTCACATCTATGATAACAAACTGCAGCTCAGAGTGCTTCAAGCCATTTGCGACAAATGCACTTGTTCATCCATATGGAAATATGATAACACACGCTCAAACATGCATATGCACACACCATACATTATGCTTACTGTTAAATTATTCAAATTGACTCTGTAAAAGCATTTCAGGTTACAGTATAATTTGTTCAAAGCTCAGTGTGATGTGTTTGAATAATGTGAGCTAAAACGAACAATGAAAAGGTGGATGTCTTCCAAATACATAAAAAAAATAGCTTACTTGTAAACAATGTATCATCATCATCTTCCTCGTCATCTTCGTCTTCATCCTCCTCATCTTCTTCTTCCTCCTCGTCATCTTCTTCTTCCTCCTCAGGCAGGTCGTCATAGACCCCCTCGTTGCGCAGGTTTTCTTTGTCGTCGTCGCACTTGATCATGACCGCGGGAACAGAGTGCATCATGGAGCTGCAAGTGGGGGGGAGAGGGCAAAGGTCAGAGGTGTGTGCTCAATGTAGCCTGAAGGTCTGAAATAACAGCAGCTGTACGGATGAGTGTGACACGTGTAAAAAGCCCATGAACCATGAATCATGTGTGTCTGGACATTTAACATTGGCCTTGAAGTCTGAAAGCAAACCAACGGAACATAAACCCTTTGGTCGTTCAGTCAGAGGAGGTAAAGAAAAACAGTTAAAGTCATAACAGTGTCAAATTAAAGCAGCAAGCAGCGAAGAACAGACCCTCGCACATCCACGCACATTAGGGTATTTACAGGATGGCAGTTAACCCTCTGAAACCCACAATAGGACATTTCCATTTTTGTATATCTTTGTGTTTTGCCTCAGAAATTATATATTTTTTACAGTATTATCCAGTTTTACACATCCCAGAAATCAGCACAACCTCGGTTAATATCACTCATTAAATACTTATATACATTATAATTTGCCTATACTGTAAAACTAAAACTAAAAACGGAGCTTTTACTTATTTTATTAAAACTGCTAACCATACTATTGAAAAAAAATTCTAAACAGAAAATTGCACACATCTGTTGGAATTGGGACAGAAGTGATTAGAAAATGCTATCTTATTCTGCTCATGAGTTATTCCCATTCTTTTGGGCAGTGTCGATGGGCATTTCTCTGCCAGGAATTGTCATTTTTCTCCTGCCAAGTTAGATGTCTAAACATGATGTATATATCATGGCAGTTCCCCTTCACAATCACACCACTGGAGACCAGCCCCATAGATAAACACAACGTACTGCATGGAGTGTGATGCACTAAAAAGCAGCATATCCCTTAAGAACTGTGGCATCCTTTGATAACTGCATTGTTTGCTGAAAAAAGGATTTGTTGAACTATATATTAAACGTTTTAATTTACCTGTGTGTGTGCCACCAAATCAACCACATGTGGCAACTGGTCACCCTACCTTAAGAGTCCAGTATGTGGTGCTAGAAAAACCACACTTAAAAAACAGTATGTTGCACATTAGCACGTGTAGACCACACATTGTAATTTTCATGTATATTGGATGATATTTGTCACATAAGGCTGACTTCCTGTTAACAACAGGTGGCGCTATGGTCATAATAGACCTGTAAATGTCATCAGGCTGCGACTCTTATCAAGCACAAGGAATTTGGAGCAGGTTGGAGATTCGATGCACAATTTCAACAACGTTCATGGTGAGTGTCTCAAAATGGCCGGCATGTTACGACCAGGGCGTGTCATGGAACAGAAAGCTTTTAAATCATTTTGATCCTCATGGTCGATTTTTGTGAAAACAAACAGGTATATACCCCAAAAGCATATTAAGGACCTTTCCACAAACCTGCCTAGAGTAGAGGCTGGCTCGTAGCAAATGTACAAGTAGACATACAACCAATCATATTGATGGATGATGGAGGAGTGAGCTGGTGAAAGGAGAGGGGGGTGTAAGCTTCATGCGTCCATTAATAAGAGACCAAGGGTAGAGCTGGGGAAGATACTTTTAATACCAAGATATCGATATTGCGATTATATTGTTGAGTTGAGTATCAGTGCTTGCCTCAACATTTTGATACAATGAGATTTTTGATCAAGTGATCACCAGAAATGTGATATTCTGACTAAGTGGCTAAAAAAATAAAAGAAATCATATACTTCTACTGTAATGCGTCATTTTGAACCAGGAACAGACAGCACTAATGCTATATTAGGATAAGAAAAAACAATATCCAGTCTAATATTGCAAAATATTGGTACATCGCCGAGCCAAGGGGGATGAAAAGGAACATATGTTTCTTATTGTGAAACTTCGGCAATGAGAATGTTTTAAAAAGGGATTTCAAAGAAATAGCTGCACTCAAAATGTATATATCGACAAATGCACGCACACACAGCTTTATTTATCTGCAGTAAAGCCAAGGGTTTTGATTTCCACTTGATCCTCACCTCTCAAACCTCTGCATGGTGAGGGCCAGGGTCTTGTTGAGCTCCTCTATGATCCGCCTGGGGGGGTGGAGCACCCCGTACTGCAGGGAGTGCCCGCCCATTGGAGCATGGCTGGGAGGGGGGCACTTCTGGAAGGCGAGCAGAGTGGGCTCCATGCCCCCTGCAGGTACGGAGATCAGGAACTTCTTTGGAGGTAGAGGAGGAGAAAACTTGGACGACATGCACGGCAACTTCACCGGGGTGCCGCCTGCGCACAGAGGAAGGAAGAGGAAGGAAGTGGAAGGATTAGAGATACAAACATGCACATGCACATGCAGATATGAGTGTGCACAGAAAACAACGTACCTGCTATGTGATTGGGTAGCCTGTTGAAGGGTTTGGGCGGTGGTGTAGGAGGTTGTTTGTGTAGCGTTGGAGGTCTTGACAGTGGTGATGATTCGGCGCTGTCAGCAGGATACACAGTGGACTTCTTAGTGGATTTCTGAACGTGGTCCTGTTGACCCAAAGCTTCACTGGGCTTCTGAACCTCCAGAAAGCCTGAGGACAGGAAGCAAAGAGATATCAAATCTGTGAGATGCTTCAATACGAGGTGAGAGACGAGGCGACGAGGGAGGCGAGTCTCTCTTTCCTACCTACAGCTGCAGCGGCTCCTTCCATCTGCTCTGTACCTTCAGACTCTGACGGGCCGTTCTCCATCTGCACCTCCTCACGTAGCGTCAAAGAGCCGTCTGCGCAGAGAGAGAGAGCAGGGAGCAGGAAACAGGTGGAAGATGGTCAAAAAAAGGGAAATGGAAGACAGGTAGATTTTCTAAAATGGCGGCAGCTTACGGTCTATTGTTATATGATTACAAGATAAATATGTGGACGACACAGCTCAAATTAAAAATTGAAGACCAACCACCAGCAGTTTCTATAATCACTTAATCATTGCAGTAGATGATCACGTTTTTGCTTGTTTTGTCCAACCAAAAGCCCAAACGCAATGTCAACACTATATTTTGGGCTTTGGGGAAATTGTTGCTTATCAGTAATGAAAACATTAGCATTCTGCAGCCGTATAGGTGCAAGCATAAAACATGTTTTTAATCCTTTACAGAGCTTTTCCCAATAAACACCAACATATTTTTTCTGAAATGCTTATCGTATAAGGTTACCATATCCACATTCATGTCTAAAATAAAGTGTCATTATAAATCACATTTCTGGGTTATTGCACGGCCACTACGCACTACAAAAAGGATACGAGACGGAGTAAAACTAATCAAATCTGGAAAAGCTATAGATAGTATTTTATATATAAATTGAACACATGGATTAATCAACTGCCTGTCTTAACACTTCAAACATTTTCACACCTTCGCCCTCACCTTTCTCATAAACCTCCTTCAGCACTCCTTTCTTGATGAGCTCCTCTCTGCTCTGGCGAGTCGACATTTTCCTCTCCAACACTGAGGGAGCAGAAAGACATGACGTTGAACAAACAGATAAATACTTTTTTTTTTAAAAAGCCTTCAGGCCAATTGTGCACCGAACACTCAGAGCGTCATCAGTGTGAGGGAAGTGGCAGCAGCAGCCGATGTTTGGACCAAACATATATAAAGATACAACTCTCAAAAGAAAAATCACATTTTCTACCAAATTATTTTCCCTTTACATGACAGTGCCACACTATATATTTAGGTGTTGGGTTTCTATGAAAACCATTACTTGTTTTTTATATTGTGACATTTCATTCTAATACAATAGAGTGTTCGATATGGATTGCATATTTCTTCACGGGAAACTAAAAATTCACATTTTTTTTTTTTTTTTTTTTATCACCACCTCTTCATACCTTCAGATCATTATTTTCCTTACATCTTTGTTGTCTTCCTATTTTTTTCTGTTTGTCTGTCATAACATGTTCAACAGCTATTATCTCTAGTCAAGTTTGGATGCACTGCCTTTAAGTATCATAATTATAAATTGAATGATTCTTTTTCTGACAGTAATCCGTCAGGAGGCGTTTTACTTTGATCTCAGACGCTCATTAATCACTTTCGCCTCTGACAGTTTCTCTATGCCTGGAGTACTTTTCATTTCATTAACTGAATGCAGAACATGGGAAAATGATCCACATTTCAGAAACACCGGGTGATAACAATCAGCCAATTACCAAAAGAGCTCAGGTTAATGCAAAAGGTGAAAAAAGCTATTGTGCTAATAAAAGGTTTGATTCAATCACAGAAGAAATGCCAGATCAATACTTCTTTAACCATAACTCTGTAGAATTATGGTGAATTCCATTGGTGGAAAGCTTGTCAATAGGAAGTAAAAAAGATGTCTTCATAAGTATCGGCCTACTATGTGATTTTTTCTCTGGGGAAGAAACTTTATAAGGAATTTCTTTTTGTTGTGTGCAAATTAATCAACATCATCAGTGTGTGTGTGTGTGTGTGTGTGTGTGTGTGTGTGTGTGTGTGTGTGTGTGTGTGTGTGGTTAAATGTATACTGTGTTTTATTAGCATACAGAAAAAGGAAGCGCCCTGCAGAGACAGCTGGGAGAACAGCTTGTCTGCAGGAGGCCCCTTGCTCCCCTCTGCTGAGTGTTTGTGTCTCTCACTGACAACAGGATGTAAAAGGCTGAGAAACAACAGCAGCTTCCATCTCCTCCAGCTAATCAAACTCTTTCTTCTGATTCACAGATCACCACTGACGCAGATTGTCGATGAGAGCCAGACATATGCACTAACATCCACATTTCCTCAGAACATCTAGATCATTCTTTGTAAAAGAGACAACACAGTGGCACACTGACAACAACCACTTAAAGCTAATGTGTTGCTGCAGTGAATCAACAGTCACTTCCACAGCTGTCTGCATCGCTGATAAATACTGTTATAAACAGCCGTCAAATAGTTAGTCAAACAGTATCAAGCAAATGTACGTTGTGTTAATTAGCTTCTACAGACTCTATGGTTCTCAAATCATACATTAAGTATCCAAAGTACTCATTGGCCATTTCACAACATTACTGTTAGTGGACTTTACATATATTATATATATATATTGATTAATATACGCTGTTTAATGTTGCAGCTAGGAAACATTTAGCTTATTTGAATTACTTTAAAGACAGCCTCATCCATTATAATACATCATATTTTATTGATGTATTTCATAATGATAATTTTAATCTGTAGAGTAACGAGATGTATCAATTAAGTGTAGTAGAGAACAAATGAAGAGAGATACAAAAACGCCTCGATTGGACTCCTTTGTTTACTTCAATAACTTAGTGACGTCACTATGTAACACACACACTTCTATTGGCTAGCACTCCAACACATCGCATGTGAAATGATAAGGGGCGCGACATTTCCGACACATCTGTAAGTGGTTGACCAATCACAACGGAGCTGGCCAGCTAACCAATCAGAGCAGACTGGGCTCTGGTTTCAGACAGAGGGTGAAAAGAGTGCTGCAGTATGAGAAAAATAAAGACCCTTTTGAAGATTAAAGTATGGAGACATGTCGCAGTAGAGGCACAAATATGAACTGGAACAACATACTGATACCGGTTAGTAAAAACCATGAATTAATGCTTTGACAAGTCTGCAGACAGACGGCAGGCGAAAAACCTTTTAAAATGCGCGTTGTCTAAATGGAGATCGGCTAAGCTAACGCAATATATGCTCCGACCGTCCACACTCACAACAACGGCCTATACAGACATAAATAAAGCAGCGACTGTATTCGCCATGACACAGGCAGTCTGTAGTTTGTACTTGTTTAACTTTTGTCTAGTTTCTGAACAGATATGAGGAGCTGTGAGCTCTGAGTGCTAACAGCTAATGTTGGTTTTCTGGGGTGCTCATTGAAGATGACGTCACGGCTCCGCCTACACTGCGTTACTATAGATACTGCCCCAGCTACTAAACTGTAATGGAAGCGCAGCATTAAAGTGAGCTGGGTCTAACAAGGCCTAACAAAACCGTACTAAGTCGAGCGAGGCCTGCGGTGGAAATGCGCCATTTAACTCCAGGTGACTTTCTGCCGCTTTCCTCCTCCGATCGTTTCACCACAGAGGAAAGCACTTCACAAATTGCAGTACCCATAAGAAGCTGTACAAATGCCGCAGTTTTTGCGTGGCTGTGTCTTTAGTTGAAAGCCCAGTGGCGATCTGCTCATCTCTCATCGAAATAATATGCTACAAAGGGGCGGACTGGCCATCTGTGTGTTGAACTTTCCTGTCGGCTCCCAGACCGTAGTGAAGGAAACAGGGAGGATGACTCTCTGTCGTCTCCCAGGGCAGAAGCAACAAGCTTCACGTTCAATAACCCACTTTAGCTTAAATGACTGGAGCGAGGCGAGCTCTTCTTGGGAGGCCGCTGCATTTATTTAGCTGTTCTTCTGTTTCACAAAATACATCACAGACCTCTGTTTTTCTGCTGCCTCGTTTCACTTCCAGAAACATACACACGCTCGCTCACTCTCGCTCTACCATCCACACACACACACACCCCTCTCTCTCTCTCTTAAAGGGACAGCGATCTCATCTCACTCTGCATGACCCTAATATCATAACATGTGTGTTCTGGAGAATCACAGAACGGACAATCGTCCTTATTATTATGCCGTTTAAACCAATTATTTAAATTTGTTTGTTAATTCGGCATCATGTAAGTTGCGCTGACAGGTCCACACATTGCTTCCCCGCAGCGAGGCTCCCCCCGCCCTCCTGTTGACAGTTCACGAGCGTCGAGCTCCTCAACCCCCCCCCCCCCCCATTGATAAATCACGATCGTCGGCACGCTGATAACAATTTTTTTTCAAAAAGGTTGCCGACCCCTGCTGTAGCGAGTAAAACTCTAACACAGAAAATACCTCCCCAAAACGCCTCGTTGGAGATACGTCATTGTCCATTTGATTCTTCCGGGACGGGGTGACGTAACCCCGTACCCGGAACGAAATGGACCAATCCGTGGAGCCGTTACGTTACGTCCGCGGAGCCGTTACGTTAAGCCCCCGCCGATTGGTCCAAATTGACCAATCCACGGACTTCCTCACACACGGGCAGCTCTGCTGATTTCTCCTCCCTGGCTGCAGGCTGATAACAGACAGTTGGGATTGCGGCGAAATTCTCTCTGCAGACCCATTCTCACAGCGTTTATCAACCTTTTTCTTACTCAATATCAAGCCACACTTATTGTTTTTACTTCGGCTGTGACTTTGTGTGTGCTCACGATGAGTTTGGCTGTGTTTCGTAGTGATGGCGAGATGAAGCCTTATGAAGCTTTGAAACTTTCCAGCCAATTGGTTCGCAAAAGGGTTCATCTCATGAGGCTTCATCGTTGGTCAAAGTGTGTAAAACAGGCAGATTGGACATCTTCTCAACAGTGTGCTCTATCTCATACCGAGTTCCCAATGAGTAAAGCCTTAGAATAACTCTTAACAACGAACATAAAATCATATTTTCATGTTAACAATATTGTTTTTATTCCAGTTGAATGATTGTGATTGAAAAGCCTAAGGAGGCTGGTAAACATTGCAAAGAGGGATTTGTATTCCTTAATAATATTCATAAACTTAACCATGTTGTAGCCTGAGAAAGGCTAAACCATATCAAAGAATACATTTATTAACTACATTATCTCATTTAGCTGTAGCTTTTATAAACAACAAAAAATACGTATTGTTCAGTCGTTGAACCAGGGACCCTGCGGTCGTGAGTCAGCTGCTTTCCAGTTGAGCCACAGCACACACGCTGAATCTCCCTGAAAACACTGCAGCATATTTATTCCTGTATTTATTCATGTTTTTATTCCTACATTTATTTATGCTTGTATCTATTTATACTTATGACATGTTCCGACCTCTATACAAGTGAGGGTCTGAGCTCTTTTAATTCCATCGTGTCACCAGCGGGCCCGGGTACAGGAGGGGTAATATGGTTCTTATTATACATCCATGGGTATTATGAGCGTTGTGGTTCAACGGTTCAACCAATCTGAATCGCTTCCTGAAGCAGTCACGTGGTATCGACAGGCAGCGAGGCTTCGTTTGTCATCGTTGACGTCACTGGCCCAAAACGATACAAGCCTCGATAGATGCTTCACAAAAAGCTTCGGGGATTACTCGACACACGCTCCGAAGCCTCGGCGCAATACGTAACATCACTAGTGTTTCGCTGTGTATGCTAAACAAGGAAACAACACCTCCACGGAGCTCAGCGCGATTCACAACGTCCCGACCAATCAGAGCACACTGTGCTCACAGGGAGGGTGGGGGCTGGAGCTATTGGAGCTACAACGAGCCGTTAAAGGCAGAGAGTGAAATTCAGTGAATACACGTAGTTTACAGAGATGCTGTATGAGAAACCAATGTGAGTTTGGAAAAATGCACAATATAAATCTATTTTAGTAGACCTCAACAATGGAATTATGATCAGTAGAAATGGCCATGACATGGGCCCTTTAAATTACATGATTGTTCATATTATGTGTTTATTATTCCATGTGGTTCTGTGTATAGGCCTATGCCTCTAAATATATATTTTAATATATCAGATATTATTGATGTCCTCCCGTTAAGGCGTTCTTAAACGTTGTTTTGTTATAATGTACTTTTTAAATAAATTGAGATGTCAGGTATAAACACATTCAAATAAAATACCTAAGTATTTGGCATAAGATGTTGCTAAATGCCATGTTAGATGAGATAATTAGCTTTTATTTAGGTTATATAGTATTAATGGGAGAAAAAGACAATACATCATCTTAAGGCCCTGACACACCAAGCAGTCACCAGAGAACTCGCCGACGCCGACTGTTGCGTCGCCGTGTTCTCCTGCGTCTTGGCCATGTGTCGCACTGGAACACACCGCAAAGACTTCAGCCGAGCACGTACGAACTGCGCATGCGTGAGTGGCAATAACTCTCCTTACCAGCAGGCGGCGGTAGTGTGTATTCGTCATTCAAAAGAGGCAACAACCGGAAGACAGAGAAGAAGAACAGACTGATATAAACAAACAACAAATAGCGGGTGCGTTCCATTTTCACTCTCGTCCATCGAAAACATGTTTCGTGCGGTACTGGAGCTATCAGCCATTGGAGTGTTGCTTGTGGAAGACATTCTCAAGCAACCGTTTCGCTTCTCATGCACTGATTCGCTAGCTGAACAGCCAATCAGAGTGATCTCTTTGTCCGACTGCCTGTGGCCGACGCACGGCCATGAAAGGCCAAATAAGGCGTGTCACGGCCGACGGTGCGGGACACACCAAATTGAGTTTGGGCGACAGGGCACGCTTCGTCGTCCGACTAACGAAAACGGCCGATTTCGGCCTGGTGTGTCAGGGCCTTTAGGGTCATCCTAAACCACCTGTGGTGTCCATTACTGTTTCACATATCAGTTATACAATGTGTACATCTTACCTAATAAAAGATCATTGAAAAACCAGACCATGTAGTCAAAACCAAGACCAGCTTATCAGAAGCCTCCTGGTGCTTCCCCAGCCTTACATAACAAAATCAAACATAATAGATCTCTGCTGCAGCCCCTATGTCCCCCCCCCCCCCCGCTCTGCAGCTCCATCCATCATGCTCCTGTTGAGAGGCACCACGGGGAGACATTTATCCTCTGTGACCGAGTGAAGCTGATAGCTACAGGGGGGCGGTGGGGGTGATGATGGAAGTGTTTTGATTCTCACCGGCAGAGGTCTGCTTGAACTTTTCACTCTTCTTCTTCCTCCATTTCCAGGGCTTGAACAGACGTCCCAGGGTGGCCAATTTGCTCCGCCGGCGGATGGGGGGCGTGTGTGTGCCGGGGACCAGCGAATCAGAGCGCATCGCTGCCAACCTCTCCACCTCCTCAGCTGGAAAACACAACAGGGACATCAAGGTCATCAACAAGCAGGTAAACAACACTAACACAAATATGTTTTGGACTTGATTGGAGGTCACTTCTCTTTCATCCATGGCACAGTTACAGCAGACTTTATAAATATATACCAGAGTATCTCGTTTTTTTCATATCATTTACAAAAAACATATCGCTTCAATGATTAACTAATGGAACAAAAATCAAGACCAAGCAATTAAGCGTCTAATCGATAATATAAATAATCTGTTGTTGCAGCCCTTATAGGGTAATAAACCAATATGCTCTCTCCTGCTGTATTTCATCTAATGACACCTCATGTCACATGAAATCAATGGAACACACCTTTATATTTCCCTTGACACGCACATTTCTTTTGACCTGCAGCTGCTTTAATCTTTAAACTACAAACTAACCCTAACTGTGAAATAAATATCTATATTGATACTAATACGTATGTGTTGATACTGCATATATTCCTAGGAAGTCTTTATAAAAATATCAAAACATATTTGTACAATGTAGCCTTTTAGGAAGCTAACTCCTGCACTTTCTCAATACTCTCCGATATATTTGAACCTGTCAGTTTAATTTGTGTTGTATTTTGCACTATCCTTCCTGCACAATTTTTTCGTCGAACCTTCAATCTAGATTTATTTTGTATACGTTTATTCTATGCTATTTTAAGCTTGTTGTTGTTATTTTTAGTGGTAACTGTATTTTTATGTGATATCAATTTTAAGAGATGTCTACTGTGAAGCACTTTGAACTGCAATTTGTATATGAAAGGTGCTATACAATTAAAGGTGGGGTAGGTAAGTTTGAGAAACCGGCTCGAGATACACTTTTTGTTATATTCCATGGAATGCTCTTAACATCCCGATAGCAATGAATATCTTAAGTGCTTTGACAAAAAATCCATAAAAAAATATCATCTGTGGAAGCCGTAGTACTGTAAAAAGTACGACCAATCATTTTAGCCGGCCCGGCTAAAATAACTGGATGGCCTACCTGCCTGTCAGCCTTCCATCTGTGCACAAACTTATCTCGTGCCCTCATTGGTCATGTGCGCGTTCGTGTGTGTTGGAGGAGGGGCTCTGTAAGGAAGTAGCAGATTTTTTCCGGCTGTGTATTTTCAAATTCTAGCGATCTCGAGCCGGTTTCTCCAAAATTACCTACCCCACCTTTAAAGCTTATTATTATTATTATTATTATTATAATAATATTGAAACAAACATTTTTACAAATGATTAAACATTATTATATTTATGTTTTGTACATGTGCACATTTAAGTTATGTTTATATAAATATTGTTGCTTTATTGTATTTTATCTTTTTATTGCACATTTTTACTTTAACTTCTTATGTCTATATACATATTTGTATTCAAATGTTATATTTTTATTGCACTTTTTTTCATGTCAATATAAATATTTCTATAAAATATATTTTTTCTTTTATTGCACACTTAACACATTTATTATGTATTTGTATTCAAATGTATTTCATCTCTTAGTGGCACAATTTCCCTTAATTTTCCCATGTTCATATCAAAAGTTGTATTTAATATTATTTGTATCTTCTATTGCACATTTTCACTCTAACTTCTTATGTTCATCAAAATATTTGTATTTAATTGTTTTATTTTCAAATGCAGCAACTGCCAAGAGACCCAGGGTAAATAAAGTATTGTGATTCTGTAATCCACAGTTAATGAAAACAGAAGATCACTCGGCTGTCTGTTATTCAAATGTCAAGGGACACATCTCCCAGGGGCCGGTGCATAATCAAGATCAGACATTGATCACTACTTCAGGAGAACACTACCGCAGAGAAGCTCCATTGAACAAAATGAAGAAAAAACCTCCGGACAGCCCTGACAGAGAGGAACTAAAATTAGATAGTAAAGCGGTATACAAACAGTGGGTAAACAACATGTGTCACAATAAATATCCACGACACAGTTCTACTGCTTTAAATAAAAGAAAATTCCCCTTGTTGCAATTGTCTCCCTCCTCCATTTGACTCTCTGTCTCTGAACTGTGGTTCTTGGCCCTACAGGGAGTTTTTTGAAAGTAATCACAGTAGTGGGCTGTTTTTCATTTGAAATGACACCTTTCACGCAACATCCTGCTGTACGAGACGGACTGTAAGCAACGAGAGCAGGAGGCCTGAGCCAGAGGCCATGAATAATAAAACAGGAAGCAAGCATTTTAGCTGGCAGTTGTAGATGTAAACACACACACGCATCAACAGACACACTTACACATACACAGACAGATACATTGCAGAAACAGGTTCAATCAGCTTTGCAAGCAGTGTCTTCATGAATGAAAATGTCTATGAAAAGTATGACCCCGCAACTTGACTCATATGCACACTGTAGTTAGAGAACATACAGTATTACAGTCAAAATCCTTAAGTCATTACAGTGGTTATTTAGGTAAGCAGAAAATAACAAAACACAATCCTCAAATCTGAACTGCATCAAAATGCACATGTTGATTTTGGATTTTAGAGAAGAATATCTAATACATAAAAATCAGCACATTTTAAAGTAAATCAGTCTCTTCTTTGCTGTTTTGCCACTCACAAATACCAACAAATATTGAACGGTATTTATAATTTTTAAGGAAATGTATTTAAAATAAGTAATGGCTACAAGAACATGGCGGTCAATTAGAAAAAGACGGCATGGAATATCAAAAAACAGCTGCAACTGGGCTTTTGGATGAAACATGTAGAAAACTGGCATGAAAAAAAACAAGAAATACAAAAAAACACTATTTTGCTTTGCACTTAAATAGTAAAAAAATGTAAATCCATAATTAAAGAATAAATGGTAACACTACTGAGTTATGCACCAAACATGACTAAAGTATTCCTGTACCTAGGGCTGTGCGATTATGGCAAAAATCATAATCACGATTATTTTGGTCAATAATTGATATCACGATTATTAAATACGATTATTCATTGACTTTGAAAACATCCATTTATTGAACTTTTAAATACAAATAATAATTTGAACAGTATCTTTTTAACTGTTGATTTCCCTGAACGTATAATTAAACTGAAAAACCAATACAAAAATAAATTAAATAAATGATACATTTATATCTACATTTAAATAAATAATATCAAAATAATAAATACCAATAAACAAGATCAACAAATATTTTTGGAGCGCACTTCAACAAGCTACTAAACATATATAAATATGATAAATACAAATAAATTTGATCAAATATGTTGCAGTGCACTGTCACAACCTAGCAAAGCAAAATAATCGTTTTTTTCGATTAGGTTGTTTTCGTAATTGTGGCAGGCCAAAATCGTAATTGCGATTAAAATACGATTAATTGCACAGCCCTACCTGTACCAGCTAATTAGTTTCAATAAAATCCATCAAATCTTTTTTGCAACACCATTTGAACTAACAGAACAACAATTAGACACCAATCAGACAAATTGACTTGGCTGGGTTTTGAATCAATAGTCATTTGTCAAAATGTATTTGCAGCTCAGAGTATCAACAACTGTCAAGTACTGAGAGCTGGCAGCACTGCATGCTTGGTTAGACTGGACGGTCAAAACAAATCAAAGTGAAGCAGTGAGCAGCTGCAGACAGGAGGAGATGTCAGCCTTGAGGTGGCCTTGTTACAAGTGGGATGTCAGTTCTAATCTGTAACCGCCATTGAGAGGCCCTCCCACAACAACATCATCAACTCCACACCCTCCCCTCCTCAGCTGTCCCTGTGGCAGATCTGTGTAGCACCCATGAGTGACACACAAACCTTTCCTGGACACATAAATAAAGAGATGTTTTTGTTAAAGCAATAAATACCTACAATGTTAAAAAAATAAGTCTCTTCAGGTCAAGTGGTTTTAAAACAGTCAATATGTGTTTCAAGCGTTGATCTTCCAGAGAGAGGAGATGTTCATTGCTGAGGTGTTTTGGGGGAGATGTTTTTAATCCTTCTGACTCATATTCGTCACTTAAAGGGGTCCTGTTATGCTTTTTGGGGTTTTACCTTGACTGTGGTGTGTTATATATGTTTTTGTGTGCATGTAAATGGTCTGCAAAGGCTTACATCCCAAAGTTCCCTCCAGAAGGAGTTTCTCTCCCACAACCCCTCCTGCCTGAAACGCCTCCTGTTTTACTTCTGTAACATAATGACATCAGTATATAACACTTCTATGGTTGGTGCTCCAACACATTGTACACATAGTGCCGGTCATTTACCGACACATCTCCATGCGGTTGACCAATCACAACAGAGCAGGCCAGCTAACCAATCAGAGCAGACTGTTCTCTGGTTTCAGACAGAGGGTGAAAAGAGGTGCTGCACAACAAGACCTTTTTGAACATTAAAGCATGTAAGCATGTCAGAGGCACAAAATAGAAATATGAACCTCAAAATGAGCATTAATGGTCCTCTTCAAAGCAGACTACAGGTTTCCCTAGGTCTTTCTCAATTTCTAGTTTTAGCATCCTTTCTTCCTCTCCTCTACTACTCGAGATCCAATTTTGGAGTTGGATTTCCTTAAAAAAAGGAGTGGTTCACAAGCCAGATAATCGTGGAGCAAGGAGTGAGGACTGAGGAAGCACAACATTGAGAAATGAGAAAGACCTCCTGTCTGTGTTGCTAGCCTCCCCCCAGCTGCGGACGACAGCAGCAGTGAGTCAGGGGGCTCGTACTCACTCTGCAGGGAGACATTCTTTCAGTCAGACCCCGGGCCTGTTTTTCTTACCGCTGCCTCATAACAAGACTGACTCAAGAACAAGCTCAGAGCAGAAAAACAAGAGACATGCTGCCGGGGCCGGAATCCACTCCATCGGCTGACTCATTCAGCTCCATTCATGTTTTTCATTTAGATTTTTTTACGATCTTATTATTGGGAATGAGCTGTTCTAAATCAATACTGGGTTTTGAGGCGACTAGGTAATAAATAATAAACATGTCTGTATTGATCTGTGGTGGAAAATGGTTAGCAAGATTTTCAAATCAAATCTACTTGTCAATTTATAAAAAATAATGTGCATCTATAGCTTAACAGTTTACTATGATTGAGTACGAAACAACTAGTTCCAACACAATTTCTTAAAAAGGAAATGTTGAGACAATTTTTATAACTGCATATTCACATAATGACATTTTGCATGGAATGATATTAATTGGAAAATCTTTGGGATTTAATGAGTTTTTTAGACAAAACAAGCCATTTGAGGATGTCACCTTTGGCTGTGGGAACTGGGAGTTTCCACAGTATCCTTACAATTTAAAGAAGAAAGAATAAAGACAAATAACCATTAGTTGCAGCCCCATCTAAGCTCCTGTTGGAATGAGACAAAGTGATTGGGTGTAGTTTAGTATGGAAGACGAGCTTATAATAAACATAGATCTTCAATCAACAGTTCATTCTAATCAATCTCATTCATGACGGTATTGATCTGTTGACCGGCATAATACTGGAAACACATTTTCAAATTAAATCCTCTAGTTGATTGACTCGACCATTTTTACAACCTGCTGGTGAGGGTAGCCATGGATACTGCAAGCATGACGACACTACTGCTGCAAAGACGAGTCTATAAATTGATTAGTCCATTGAGAGAAAAAGGAATTGACGGCATTGTTGATAATCTAATAATAGTTTGTGCCATTTTGAAAGCAAACCATCCATCCTTTGTTCCAGTTGTTTCATTTTGAAGATTTATAAACAGACTATCTTTGGGATGCTGTTGGTTTGACAAAGCACATGTTGAAGAGGTCACCCCGAGCAACTGGGGCAATTTTCTGACATTTTATTGACAAAAACATAATAAGTTAATTTAAAAAACGAGAGTGGTTCATGGACAAGAACAAATAATCAATATTTTCAGCACATTGACATCTTGGTCAATTAAGTAATTAAGTAACTTAAATTGGCAGGTTGACGTATTATTGGGGGAGAGGGGGAATGTAACTAATATTTTTAATTGAATATGTTTTCTTACAATCGTGGTCTGCACCAAGCACTACAGTTTGATCTTCCACATGACATATATTAAGACTGTGGACATGTTGTTTGTTGTTGAATTAATAAGAAATTGTATGACTATCATTTTCATCCCTACTTGTTGTTAAAGTAATAATATTGCAGGATTGTCTTACAAAAGTGGACCAAATAACAATGACAAAATAAATCGTGCTTCAAAGTAACATTAAATCAGAAATTAAATTGATTCAACATGCTTTAGTAATCACAAAAACCTCATTAGAGGTCACTATTAAGAAAATACAGTAATTTACAAGCAACGTTCAGGGCTAACGTTAATCTGAGTGCTAATCCCGGTACTGTGGATCTCCCCCAGGCAGGCAGGGAGCGGCCACCGGCATATGACAATAATCATTTTTAAATAGTACAGTAAAAAAAACCTCCTCCCAACATTCCCCTTTCACCCAGCCAGCTGAACAGGGTCCTCTCACCGTGCCGCTGCTCGGCTCCCCGGCAGTTGCTGCAGATGTGTTTGATCTCTTTCCCGATCTGGCAGTGGATCGTAAACGGCATGTTGTTGTTGTGCACGGCGGGCTGATGCTTGAGCTGTTTGCCGGTGATGTTGCGGGACTTCATCCTGGTCAGGGAGAAAGCTTTGCTCCTCTTCTTTGGTTTCTGCTCCTCGGACGCCGCTGAACATGTTTGTTCGCTGGCAGCAGATCCGGACCATGAACACATCACGTCGCCTCCACGGCCCGCCATATTCCAGCTGTACTGCAGGGCAGGACCCTCTCGCCCTCTGCTCTGCTCCGGTGGAGAGGGATTTCAACTGGTTGGCAGCTCTGTCTACTACTAACAAGCCAGCCATTATGAAAACGATTTCCGGTTTGAGCAAACAAAATAAAAGGACTTTATCGATATTTTTAAGAACTTTAAATAAACTGTAATGCACAATTGACTGAAAACAGGCCCCACAGTCTAGCAGAAATGTATTGTTGAATTGTATTCATTCCCAATTTCTTCTCCACAGCACTGATTTGTACTGTCTTCTTATTCATTGTGGCTTAGCCTACATTGAAATGGCAATTAAAAATCAGTCGTTCATAAAATGGGGTAGATTAAAACGTTCTTGTCGATCAAGTTGAACATTTGTTTTGAGAAAAAGACCTTCAGTAGCTATTTTGCAAGCATGAAATACTCTCTCTTATGTAAATAGAGATAAACACATCTGTAGGGTTGAAATGTAGGCTATGATCCGCTTCATACAGTATGACTAGAACAGCAGACTACCATCTGCAATACCAATGTGCAAAGAGATAAATAAAAACAAAACTTTGAAATGTTGAAATACTTCCTGGAATGGGTACCAAACAAATGGACGCAGCAGTGCAAACCATCAACTATTTGACACTTGTCCTGTGATTCTTATTCTGCAAATTCAATTGAAAATCTGCATGTCCATTGATTCTGGATTCCTTAATTTAGTTTAACAACTACATTTAGCAATTACTTTAGGTCAGTGCTGCAGTTATGAGTCTCTGCTCATACTCCCACTTTCAATTGCTCTGTATTATAGTTTAAAGAGAATAGTGTAATGTACAATGATAAAATAATGTTTTCTACATTTAAATCACTTTTAATTACTAAAACATGCAGCACTCAAAGTAATTTACAATGAAATATAGGTTAGCCAATGAGAATAATCTCATGTTGACACACCATCTAGTCATAGCTAACCCTTTATTTTGAAGGCCTACTTGTTTCCGGTTTTAATCTGTCTCTTTGGCCGAATTGTATCTCCTTTACAGATTCAGCCAATGATGGATCGCTATTGCTCTTCAACCTCGCAGTGGTAGCCAATGAGGTTGAAGCACTGGGGGATCAGGAATATAGAGAGGTTTTTGAATAAACCGTCGTTCAATGATTCATCTGAGAAAAAAATGAAACAAAATACAGTAATGCTTGAAGTTTCAAATGCTGTATCATAGTATCTTTTTACATATGTAAATAATATATAAATATCATTTTTGTTTTGTATATTTGTATATTTTTTCAATATATTTGTTCTTACATAGTTTTTTTTTTCCTTTTTAGATTATTTAAAAAAATATATATATATATATATATTTAAAGAACACAGTTGGCACCATTATTGTTTTCATACACCAGCTCAACACCCTCAATGTATTATACACTCTTTTTTTGAACTCTAAATGTTTCCAAGGTAAATCATAATATTGAAAGAATAGCACAAATATCTTTTTTTTTTATAAAAGGGATTGATTAAAATCAGTTAAGGACACTTTCCTTTAAATTGTACTCTGACTCATGTGGGGTTAAAAGCTCAACGATATAACGAGATCACAAGCAAACAGGAAGTCTTAAAAGGAATCAATAGGATCTTAAAATCAAGTCTGAGCTTTATTGGAAATCAATGAGGATCAGCTGAAACAGAAGCAATGATCTCACACTTCCGAGGAGTAAGCAGTCTGACATGTGTTTTGAGTTTACTATTATGTGCTCCATGAAAAAGAGGACACTCTTTTACTGCAGAAAGGCAAGGGTCAAAATAGTGGATTCATTTGTTTTGCAGTACTCTTAATATAATACTTGACAATTTTAACATCCTTCATCAACCTTAAATCCACATATTGAATCATGTTTGTACGTCTGCTAAATCAAAAATGCAAAAAAAAAAATATATATATGTCAGAGGACATGGAAACCAGCTTCTAGATTCTTGAGGGATAAAAGCAAGTCAAATTTGGAAAGTCATAAAAAGAACAACTGACTGAACAAGCCAATATGCTAGTGAAACATTGTCGGTTATTTTCTGCGGAGGCCAACAAAGGGTCAGAGGTTGCAGTTAGATGTTTCTGACAGCAGGTGGAGCTCACTCACAAGAAATAAGAAGGGAATGAATTAGTCAGTGTCTCAAAACAGTGACAGACTGAGCCACAGGGTGCAGACTGGTGAGGAGGAGTATGTGTCTCATCAGGACCGACTGTTATCTCCTCCATGTTACAACACTGAGCTGGGGTGCACAAGCACACAAAGCCTCTGAGTGTGTGTTTAAGGCTTGTTTTTAATCGTTTCAGTCACATACAATGTGTGTGTGTTGATATCTTTTACGTAACAGTATGATAAGCATATGCTGCATTTTCCCCGCTGCAGACGATGAGTCACTAAGACTTTCAAATTCAATGTGAAAGGTTTTGTATCACAGCATGATAGGGGAGCAGTTTAGTGATCAAGTATCCTGTGAGGAGTGAGTATAAGGCCTTCAGATTACAGTAACAACCAGCAGTGGAGGAACAATTCAGTCACTACTCGCACAACTGCTTACAGAAGACAGTTAAAGAGTTAAACTCACCCCTCATTCTTATTCTGATGATTGGTCTGAATCATTGCACCATTCACTGTTGTGTCTCTCTCTAATGAGGAGGAGACGTGAGAGCAGAGCACTGCTGGTGTAGGGCTGATCAATACATATATAGGCTCCCTCTCTTATACAAAGGCTGAGGCCTATAGTGTGTGTCTAGGAGCAAAGGTGGTATATGACTGCAGGTATGATTCACATTACATACTGAAGTGACAAAGAAGAGCATTGATTGGTGTACACTTAAGTTACAGGAAGTAGCACATTTAGCTGATAACATTTCTACTTTACCTACACATCAACTGTAAAGATGCTCATTATGCAGGTCAGCCCTTTTTTAGAGTGTTGGCCCACTTCTTGGCATTACACATGGTATAAATATCCATGGTGTTCTGAACATAATTCATCCAGACATTGGTGATCCCCTATTTCCGCCAGAAAGTCAGTTCCAGACATTGTCCAATACATAGATTTATAACCAATTTCTATCTAATCTCTTTCCCATCATCAGGATGATACAGGAAATCATTCCTGCCAACAGCAATGACTGACTTTATACACCTCACCTCTGGCTGGCAGAGAACTCACGGCTCCATCGTTTTGGTTCCTCCCCTCCAGTACCATGAACAACCATGAACATTCTGGCACAACTGCTACTTACACAACTGTAATTCATAGACTATCATATGTATATGTTTTTTGCTACTGTAATATATTGTGGTCTAAAATGATCTAGATTCAAGAACATTTTATATTGAGTATTCTTGTGGTTCGTGTACTTTCTACTTTTTAAATTTAAAATGTATTACATTTCATCTAGTTATGTTTCTACTTATTTCCAAATATTTTAATGCCTGAACACACTGCTGCTACTGTAACTAAATAATTGGGTCTCTCTCTCTCATGTAAAAGACTACTTGCATCAAAGCAGCAGAGGCCAAGATACCATACTTTTAGATCTGTTGGCATTTTCTCTCCAAAGACTTCCTGAGCTGTAATTGCCACACACCCAATTAGTGACAAAAAGCCCAAGCTGAGATACCTTTAATGAGCACTTTCTGTGGTCGGTTAACTAGAAAAGCACTTTATAAATAAAGTCAATTTACAACTGTCAATGTAAATATGTAGGTAAATGGACTGTATTTATAGAGCCCCTGTATAGACTGCAACATTAAGATCTAAGGTTTAAGCTCCCAGAATGCATACTGCAGTTATTCCTTAAATGTCTCGTGAAGCGATAACTTGTTATGTACAATATGTCTTCAAATAATAATGGTCCAGTGTGAGTTTATAAGTGGCACACAAGATGATTCATTTAAATGCTGGAGCATAAATCAATGCAGTCATGACTGAGGGAATGTCAAACTTATATCCTTAGGAAATCAGCACCAGTGTTTCGAACCATCACATTATATAAAATAAAAAGGCTTACATGGCAGTATAATTAGATGAAGTTGTTTTTGTTGTACTTTGTCATATTCATTCATACCACGATAACTCTGTCTCATTTGATCCCAGCCCCTGCTTTGTTAATCTGATTTTGAAACCCTAGATTCTCCTAAAAAAGAGCAACAAGAAATAGGAGCGCAGTGGTGTCTTTTATTTTCAGTCCTCAGAAAGGCTGTTTCTTTAAGTGGGGGCACAAAGGGTTGGCAGGTTACAGCTCAATGTGCTGGTGACCACACACACACACACACACACACACACACACACACACACACACACACACACACACACACACACACACACACACACACACACACACACACACACACACACACACACACCACACACACACACACACACACACACACACACACACACACACACACACACACACACACACACACACACACACACACACACACACACACACACACACACACACACACACACACACACACACACACACACACACACACACACACACAGAAGAACAGACAGAAATACATGTGTGAATGCAAGCACTCACATGAGACCACAGGTGTGCTTGTCACATCAAAGATGTCAGCTCATCGTCACTGAGACGGCCTGTGGTGTGCACAGCTGTCACATTATTTTCTATCTGTGAGCAACTGAGCTCCTTACGTTTGTCTCACCATAAATCATCCTGTCCAACAGCATCTATCTTCTAGGCGTGTCTTTCTCATGAAGCGTCCACTTCTCAGCTTACCACAGCTGCACACAGCAAACCCTCAGAGTTTCTTATCGGAGATGGCTTGAAAGAATCAATCTCATCTGCCTGAGCAACGAGTCACATCTCCATGGTGGTTAAAGTCTGCCTGAAAACTCTTAACTCTTATACTATGAGAAGGATGTAAACAATAAATGACAGAGTTGAATATGTGTACAGTACATGGGATTGTTTTTAAGGATGGACATATTTTAGCATTTTATTAGTTATTGAGAAAA